TGGTTGCTGGGTGTGGAGTCGGGACAGGGTGCAGGCCAACAGACCCTCGAGTCTGCCTGTCAGAATGACGTCTCTCCTCTCTGTCACCACCCCCTCAGGCCCCTGAATCTCTCCCCTGACTGCGACACCTGCATCCGGTGCTCTGCCTGGTCCCACGGACGATCCTGGGACCACCCTCCGGGAGACCTTTCACAGTGAAAATCTGGCCACATCACCTCCACGCTTCCAGCCTTAAGAGCTTCTGCCTCCCACGGCCGACGCATAGGGTGTGTCCTCCACGCTCCTCCAGTGGCATCTGAGGCCCCTGTGGGCTAGCCTTTCTTGTTCTGCTGTGTCACTGCTCCAAACACGCACACTCAGAGTGCTCCCCAGCCAGATGGCCCTTATCACCTGAACGTGCCAGCCCTGGAGGCCCCCCGTGTTGCCCTGCTGAGCCCCCCACCCCCTGCTCTTCCAGGCAGCTCCTCCCTCTCCCAGCTGATGGCTCTGCCGAACACCCCAGGTGGACACCACCCCTCCCTGCCCCATGCCCACAGCCTCTTAGTTAGCTGCCCATGGGTCTGCCCCCTCAGAGACCAACTGTGACCTCCCTGTACTCCACCTACACATGGAGAGCCTTCCAGGGACTGAATAAAGATATGAATGCATTTTGAGGAAGATAAAGTCCTAAGCCTAATGAGAGCAATGTATTAGTACTAGCAATTGCCGGCATTTATTATGGAGCACGTACTCTCTGCCAGGCCCCATGCACAGCACTGGGGTTTCATCTTCCCGACAGCCCCAGGGTCTACAACTGTTGTCAGCACTTTAAGGAAGAGGTGGCTGAGGCTCAGTGAGGCTGAGCAGCTTGCTCAAGGTCGCACCACTGGAAAGAAGGACTGGAATTCAAAGCCCGGTTTATGAGTCCAGAGTCTAAGCTATAGCCCTCCACTCCCCACAGCCCCACTGCCCAGAATAAGGGGATAAACCTGGAGGGCCAGCAGAGGTGTGGGTGGCATTGAGGGGGACAGAGGGACATGCCTGTCCTCCACTACCTAAAGAGCCACTTGTATTTCCGTATGTAATCAGCCATAAAGTCCTAAGTGAGCCACTCACGTCCCCCATCCCTGACTGTCACACGGGCAATTGGGGACCTCAGAGCATGAACGTATGATGAGTGAGGCTCAGCACAGCTCCGTAGCCGCCTGACTCTTCAAAGCCAGGCCCAGCAAAGGGGTATCCTTTTGGAAAATCTGGGTCAGGTGTACCTCAGTGGGTGGGGTCAGGCAGGAGGGGCTGCCCCTTCTAGGCCAGCTCCTAGGATGTCCTTCCTTCGTCATCCAAAACAGACCCCATTCAGCCAGCCTCCTCCAAATACACTGCCATCCTCAGAGCAAGCTGATCCTGTCCTGTTGTCCCACCTGGGCTGCAGATGGACAGGGAACTGCCCTGTGCCTTCAGTAAGCTGTGCCCTTGTCTATGGGCAGAAGGGCTGAAATGAGCCTTCAAAGCCCCTCATCAGACCAGGATTCTGTGCATCTAGGAAGTATTTATTAGTCAGCTATTGCTATGATTATACCACATAACAAACTGTCCCAAAATTCCATGGCACAAAGCAATGTACATATACTTCTCATGAGACTGCCGGGTGTCTGGGGTTTTGCTGTTCTGGACTGTGCTTGGCTGGCTGGACTCCAAGCTGCTGGTTGGGTCCTGATCTGTCTGTGTTTCTCACATCCTCTTTGGACCAGGTCTGCTTGAGGCTTATTCTTCTCAGGGTGAGGAGGCCCAGCTGGGCAAGTGCCTTGAAAGCCTCTGTATGTTTGCAAAAATCAAACAGGGAACTTTGCTGGATTCAAATTAGCTGAAGCAAGTCCCGTGGCAAAGTGCCCAATCAGGAGGTAGGGAAATATACCCCACCCCCATCAGTCCATGGCAGGGTGTGGCTGCGTCCTACTACTGCAGGGCCATGGAAAATGGAGACTAATAATTCTGTGTACCACACAGTGGGAGAGTGGTCCAGAGTCAAAACTGAAAGGGCCTGAGGGGTTACAGGCACAGAAACTGAGACCCAGGGAGGAGACAGGTTATGCCCACATCATCCAGCAAGGGCTGGGCAGAGCTGTGTGGAGAGCACATGCTCAGGGCCTGAAATCAGTCCTGCCTCACAGCCCTGCATCGCCTTTACCTCAGAAACTTCAGTGAGGCCCAGGCCCTGGGAGGAGCATGCCTGGGGAAGCAAGGGACCCAGCCTCATACCCTTAGTCTGTGTTTGTGTTCCCCGGTGAAAGGAAGGTGGGCTGGGGCTGCTGGCGGTGAGCCACCCCAATCTCCTGACCTTCCTAACAGGCAGAGTCAAGGCCATCTAAGTTTTCTAGCTTCTGTCTCATCTGACCACTGTGGCTGCACCTGCCCTTCCTGGAGGACAGCAGAGGGGCCCTCTTCTCCCCACTCGGCATCTCCCACTCACCCCTGCCCTTTCGGCTCCTTTCCTTGACTCCTTCCTTACCTCCTCCACCTTCTAGACAGCTGACAGCAGATCCTAAGAACCACAGAATCTCATGGTTGGAAGGTCATCCAGGCCAACCCTCTGCTTGTGCAGGAGCCTCTGTGCAGCGTCCCTAATGGAGACCACCAGCTTCAGGTGGCTGGGATCCTCTCAGGGACCGGGAGCTCACTAGCCCCACAAGGCAGCCCCTTCTATTGCTTGTGCTTGGCAGCTCTGACCCCAAGAAATTACCAATTCTTTTTCAGTTCCCAATCTGCTTCCCCCCAAATTCTATTCACTAATTTTAGTTCAAACAGTATTTAGGGAAAACTTACTGTATGTCAACTGGGACTGGGGATACAGAAATGAGAGTCACTGTCACATGCTCAAGGGGCCACAGACCATAGGGGAGAGAGACAAGGTTCAAGGTGACAGGTGCTCAGGTAGGGGAACTGTGGCTCTCCTGGGGAGACCACCTAACAGCCCTGGGGCAGTAGACAGATCTCCTCCCCAGGACAGCTTGCAACTGCTTGCATGCTAGTCAAGCCTGGGTTTGAATTCCCGATCTGTCACCTAGTAGCTATGACCTTGGGCACAGCTAGGCTGCAGCACCCTTCTGTATAAAATCAGGACAATGGATACATGCTCTCATGGGAGAATGGAAGGTGGAGTATGGAAAGCCCTTGGCACATGGAAGAGCTCCATGACCGGTATTGTTGTTATTGTTGTTAATTATGCAGCCCAACACGGAATTAGCAGTTAGCACATCTGTGCTCATGAAGTTGAAACTTTTAACTTCTGGGTGGGACTTTACATTTGTCCACAAGTTGGAGTGAGCACAGAACTGTCGGAGATGTGACTCTGTTCCAGGCCTTCTTGTCACTTCCTCTGAAATGAGGACTGAGTCGCTCAGCAACAAGACCCAGCTGTGACCATCCAGATCCCAGAAGGTTCGAGCATATCTTTATTAGAAACCGGGTAGCAGGTGGGCCTTAGCACTGAAAAGGATAGCAACTACTCTAGTGCAGCCTCTTCCGGAATCTGAGGGTTATAGGGAAACTCAGAAATGTCCTGTTAAATGCCCCTTCTGATGCTTGGAATCAGGGTAAGGACGGGAAGATGTGACACAGAAGCCCGTCTCCCCCTGCGGCCCTCCCAGCAGACATCACTCACGGGTTCTGGCTCTTATTTCCCCCTGAGCGTGGACTCCGATCCAGAGCCATCCTCAGCTCAGACTACATGGCATGTATAGCATTGCTTTACAGTGGCCCAAACAGGCTTCCTAGAGGAGCTGGGATTTCTGGGTATTTTGAAATGGTGGGTGAACCACAGTAAGCAGAAGTAGAGAGAGCATGTTCCACGTGTGGAGTTTGGGGGTGTCTGGAGAGGGCCGTGCTCAGCTGTACATGTGGGCTGGGGGAAAAGCCTCCTCCCTCGCCCGCCTGCCCACTCCTGCCCTCCCAGGAGGTGCCTGGGTAAGGCCAGAGGAGCCGGTGTGTGTGAGGAGACCAGATGACCCGAGTGGAGTGGATGGGGATGGGAGGCAGACGGAGCTGAGGGCAGCTGTGAGCACAAAGGGCCGTCGTGGGCAGTACCTGTCAGGGGTCTCTGTCCCTCTACCTCTGGATGCTGGCGCTAGGCCCACCAGCCAGGTTGCTGAGATAACATAGCTCTGGAAAGTAATTACAGCACTTGCTCCTCACATGTGTCAGCCCCTCAGAGTGGCAGCGTCACCCACCTCCCCTGCTTTTACCCTGCTGTCTTGAGTGTATGTGATGTGTGCTTGGGAGGAGGGCAGGGGGGCAAGGCCAGGCACCACCTCCTGGTTTCACTGCCCTGCTCAAGAACACCAGTGGCACCCCATCGCCCATGACATAATTGGCAAACTTTTAAAGGCATATGAGCTATTATTCATGTAAAAGACCTATGTGAAAATCTGTGCCTACGTCAGGATCCCTGAGGACCCTCCCCTCTTAGGGCTGGGGACCCTTCCATAGAACCCCAGGCTCCAAGGGATACAGTTTGAAAGAAAACCCCTGGGATGGAATACCGACTCTTTCTCCTGGCATTAGAAGTCCTTTGCCACCTGGCACCCCCTGCTCAACCAGTCCCAGCCTCCCTGTTCCATGCCACTCAGGCCAAAGCTGCCTTTAATCCCTGGCCCCACATGCCACCCCGTTCTCTCCCCCTAAAAGGCCCCAGTGCCCCACCTATGGCCCATCACACCCAGGCAGTTGTTGAATCTCCACCCATTCTTCAAGACCCGACTACTCAAATCACTCCTCTTCCAGCATCTCTCGTGTAGGCATCTGGCTCTTCTCAGAACACCCAGGGAGCTCTGTGCGGCTGCAAAGCCCTGCAGCACTTCCTACCTTTTAGCATGGTTATTTATGTACTTGTCTGGTCTCCCTGGTAGCCGGCAAATTCCTTAAAGGCAGAAACTATCTTCTTTACCTCCGTCTCCCTGACAATTCCCAGCAGGGTCTTGAGCAGAGAAGGGGCTGAATAAATATTTATTTGTTGAATAGCTCTACTGAGTGTTGGGTACAGGCTCTGCTATTGTACCAGGCTGCATGGTGAAAGGTCCAGTCCCAGCCCTCCAAGGCTTCCATCTAAGAGAAAGCAAAACCTGTAAATCGAGAGTGGCAGCACAGAGAGGGAAGTTCAGAATGATGGATAGAAGCAGCTCAGAAATCATTGCCTAACCCATCCTTGGGGGTGGTTAAGGAAGGCTTCATAGAGGAGGTGAAACCTGGGGGAAGTCAAAGGGCAATGACACCTACCAGGAGGAGTATGTGGGAACATCACAGCAGGCAGAGGGAACAGCGTGGGGAAAGGCACAGAAGGCAGAAAGAGCATGGCTGGAGTGGCCCAGATCCAGGTATGTGGGTTGGGGAGGGGGAGGAGGCAACTCAGGAGCAGGTGGGGCAGATAATGCCGAACACTGTGGGAAGAAGGGAACGCTCCTGGGAATGCTGGCCTGGGAGCAGGAAGAGAAGCATCCCTCAGGGAGCAGGAATGCACTGCAAGGAGGCAGAGTGGTACATGGGGCAGGAGGGAACTGGGAGCCCTTTGGCAGGGTTCTTCTTTCTGAACCTCAGTCTGTAAAGGGGGTAGTTTGAACCAGAGTCTTGAAGATCCCTGTCTAGATCTGAGTCCAAAATGCCAGTGGAGCATCAGCTGGACAACTGTAAATCAGTCAGTATGGTGAGAAGAAAAACCAGGAGCAGTAGGGTGGTTAGGGCAGGGCAGGGCTGGTAGGGAGGGCTCTGTGGGGGAGAAGGGGGTACCTGTGAGCCAGGGTCTGTGGGAAGCACTCTGCATGGATTCTCGTACCTACTCTTCACAACGCCCATGTGTAGGTGGGTGTTGTTAGCCCCGTTTTGTAGAGCAGGAAATGATCCTCTGAGTGTCTCCCCAGATGGCAGGCAGATCTCCTCTTGCAGGGGCTCCCATCCCCTACATGGGAAACTGGCCAGACCCCATAGCCCATCAGCCCTGCAGGCCAGAGAGAGGAGGGAGGGTTAACCTCCTTCCTGGGGCGACCATTATGCCAGGTTGCCCAGGACTGAGGCACTGTCAGTATTAAATCCAAGACCTGAGCAAACCAAGACAAGCTGGTCACACTACTCATGGCACAGGTGGTGCATTCCCACAGGTACTCATTCCCAGAGGTGGCAAGTCCTCAAGTTTGCCCACCCACAACGCACACAAGCATTCCAGGCTGGATGCCAGCTCTGGCAGGGGGCTTTTCCAGCACCCAGTTCTCAAGGCTCCCTATGACCCGGCCCCCGAGAACTCCAGCGAAAAAGCTAGACTGCTTATAACTCAGTCAGGGAAACCAAGCCAAGCCTCAAAGTCTTAGGGGGGCTGCGGCTCCTCCTCCAGGCCCGGCTGCCTAGGCAGGCTGGGAACACGCTCTGCTCCTTAGCGGGTTGGCTCCCAGCACCCCACTGTGCAGCCCCAGCGGACACCCCACCCCATCCCATCTCAGCGGTCAGGAATCTGAATTCCAAACCAGGCTCTGCCACTAAACCTCTGGGACCTCAAGCTGGTATCTTTCTGTCTCTGGGTCTCAGTTTAAAAGGGGGATTGGAAGAAGGCTCACCTCTCAGGATTTTTGTCAAAACATCAGAAATGCTTCGCATGAAAGAGCACCGTGAACCAGTGAGAAAGCCGTGCTTCGTGATCATGCCAACCTCCAGCACAAGTCTAGGAACACAGTTCAGTGGATCAGACACCTGGTCCCCAACTTTCAGGCTCCAGTGCTCTCAGGCAATGGGCCCTGGGCCAGGGGAATCAGGAGGGCCAATGGGGCCTAGCCCCAGCTGTGTGTCCTTGGGCAAGCCTCTTAACCTCTCTGAGCTTTGGTTCCTTCATTGGCAAAAAACCGGGATGCTATTTGTAGGGTTACAGGGAGGATGGCATGACACTGAGCCCTGTGCCTAGATTCCATAAGCAGCCTCTGAATGTGGGCTGGGCCCCCACTGGCCCGCCCTACACCTCTGGGGCCCTTACTGTTTGCTGCATAATGACTGGAGGGGTGATGTGGTTCACCTGATCCCCCCCAGAGCCTCCCCTCCCAAGGCCCAGCTCTAAACCCACCCCACCCACCACAAGTGCACACTCGAGCACTCTCAAACACACACACGTTCTTTTTCTGTTGTTTGTGGCTAATTGTTTATTAGGAGATGCAGGCGGCTGCGCCAGTGGGAAGGCTCAGCTTGCTCCGCTATAATTAGGATAATGCACATTAGTCATTTAGTGTAACTCAGAGAGCAGCAGTCCGCGCGCTCCCCTCCCCCACTGCTCCTGCGGCAGCTCGCTCAGCTCCCGGGCTGTGCTGCGCCGCCTGCCCAGCCTGCCCAGCTCCCGGGCCTCCCTCTCTTGGCGTCTCTCTCCCTCCTCTGGTTGCTTCCTCTCCGTCCTCTCTTTCTCTCCCTCCCGCTCCCCTCTTCTTTCCTGGTTCTAGCTTTCTCCCTCCTTTTCTCAGCACTCCCTACTCCCAGCCTCCTCACTCTTGACTTATTTCTGCTTTTTCCTCTCCCTCCACAGCCCCTCCCTCGGAGCCTGAACCAGCGCTGGGATAGGGAGGGCGGCAGAGGAGGTCAAGCCTGGTTTCCAGCCCGGGGTGGGGCGGGGCGGGGGAAGGAGTTCTCACATTTCTGACAACGGAGGGAGCGTCTGGGTGCCTCCCTCAGTCCTGCCCCTTGGAGGGTGCCTGCCTTGCTGTCCACCCCCTTTCCTGCCCCAGGACCCTAGCATATGTTAGCCCAAGAACTGGACCAGGTCTCTACCAGCAAAGGCAGGCCTTTGTCTCCAAAACCCTGAGCACATCAGTGTGACTCCATTGCCCCAGTACCCCATTCACTCCTAAAATCCAGGAACCCAGGAGCTGGTGTTTGGGGGTGAAGGTGGGGGCTACCCCAGGGCTGTCTGGAGCCCTCCACCTCACAGGGCCTGGGTTGGGAGTGTCCATTAGCCCACCAGGAACAAGGAGCTATTCTAACAGTTTCCTTTTGTCCTGAATCCCAGAGCCACTGGCAGACTCCAGGCCTGGACACAAATGAAACCCCTGACCCCTCTTCCTCCAGTCCTGAGCCCCATCCCAGCCCTTTACAATCCAAAAGAGACCTTTCACTGGCCCATTACAGCTAGGCAGACTGAGTTCTAGGGCCAAGGGTTTCCCTGGCCCTGATATTGTTGCTAGGCACCCCTCCAGGTTTTCAGAAATAAATAAAAGAGCTCTTCCCTATATAGTGAGGAATGCTCACCTAAAAATAGAAGGCCTCCTTGTCCTCATAAACCAGTTCGGGCTTCTGGTCCCCATCCTGATATCACAGATGCAGACAGATTAACAGACAGGCATGTGCTCACAACTCACGAGGGAAGGCTCACGGAGCAGGCACAGGGGGAGGCCAGGGTCACTGTGCATCTGGAAGGGCAGGGCTCTGTCCCAAAGCTGGCACCACCCCTCTCCTGGGCTTCTTCCTCACCCCTCCCGGGAACCCTGCCTCCATGCTCAGCCCAGGGACACCCCCAGCCCAGGAGCACCATCCACACTCATACCTCTTAAGGTTCCTGCCACCATCACCCCCTCACCCTCCTCCACTGTCATGGACTCCAAGGCTCTGCACCCCAGTGCCATGTGCAGCTTAGAGCGCCCATGATAGCTGAGGCTGGAAGGGAAGGCAGTAACACTGGCCCCACCAGTCTCTCAGGGCCAGGAAGCCTTTCCTGTCTCCCTTGGGATTGCTGCCCTCTGGTGAGGCTCCACAGCTGACAAGAAGGTGCCCGTGAGACTAGCAGGGAGCCAGGAAGCGAGAGCCGTGATTCCCATGGGTCTCCAGTCTACCTCGCTGTGTGCCGGAGTGAGGCTTCCCTCCCAGGGCCTCAGGTAGCCTCCCAGGTACCCAGGACTGCACTAGGTGGGCAGTCCCACCATGCAGGGGCTTACTCAGCAGCAGCTCCTTGGGGCCTGCAGCTGCCTGGCCTTCCCAAGCCCTGGCCCTCCTAGGGACCCTCAGGAAGCACTCTTAGCCCCCAAGTTAGCTGAGTTGTTTCCTCTGTCATTTGCCAATACAGTGAATATCCTTCCCTCCTCTATTTCCCAACCTGCGGCTCTGATTTCTTCCCTTATTCTTGAAATAAGAGATGACAGCTGAGAGGCAGCAGGAAAGACTTTAGGCTGAGGGAGCAGGAGTGGCCAGGTCAGGATGGCTGTCCTAGGTAGGTAGGGCAGGGCATCTGCAAGAGGAAGACTGGGACAAGCATGCATGCGTGTGCCAGGAAGTGTGTGTGTGTGTGTGTGTGTGTGTGTGTGTGTGTGTGTGTGTGTGAGCAGTCACAACCTCCCAGAGTCACCCCCATTGTTCTTTCATTCATTCATGACTCTGTGCTGGGTGCCAGGGCTAAAGAAAGCCACAGGGTCCCTGCCCTTAGTGGCCAGCAAGTCAACCACCAGTCGAGGCATGAGAAGACTGGGGTTGGGTCCGTACTTGGGGGCAGTAACTAGGTTTCAGAGGGTCTCTGGGCCCTGTCTCAGGAGGCTGTGTGGGGATCCATTTAATGATGATGATAACAATGCCAAATAACAGCTAACATTCAAAGAGGGCTAACTGTGTGCCAGGCATTTGGTTCAAGTGTTTTGCAGGTAATCTTATAATATCTGCATTTCCTTTTCAAAGCAACCCAGTGAAAGGGGCTGCTATCACCCTATTTTGCAGTTTAGGAAATTGATGCAGAAGGATGCTAAGCTGCTTGCCCAAGGTCACACAGCTAATAAATGGTGCAGCCGACTGATGGGAGCCTTCCCTGCCCTCAGCTTCCTCATCTATAAAATGTGGGGTAGGGACCCTGCCTTCCCTTCACCTAAGAGAGAGTTCCCAGGCAGATGGCAGGAAATGACACGGTTAACCAAGTGCTTCTGGGAGTGAGCAGGCAAGAGGGACTTTAGGGCAGATGGAGGAGAGGTGTCCCTTCCTCCTGCTGGTCCCTCCCCCAGCTTACTTACTCCAACTGTGTTCCAGCCAGGTGGGGGTGACCACAGCATCAGGAAGCTGCCTCCCCAGAGTTTACAGCCTCCCAGGAGGTGAGCTAGAGCTGCCTGGGGACTCTGGGCTACCAGATGCTTCAGTTCCCCCCACCCACCGCCCCCATATACACCAGCTGCCAGTCCTCCTCCCAGCCCAGCCCAGGCACACAGGGGTCTTCCGTGTTAGGGACACAGGAGCCAGAGAAAAGAGAAGCCTCCAGGTTGACAGGGGAGACACAGCCCTGCCCGAGGGAGCTGCTCAGGGAAGGGGCAGAGCACGGAGGAAGAAGGAGGTGCAGGGGGGCTCAGGGTTGGGGTGGACAGCTCTGTCAGGCTCCAGGACTCACGGAGGCACCCATTCCCCTGCTGCACTCCTCCTTCCCAGGGTGGAGAGCCCCCACTGCACAGTAAGCACCTGGCTTGGTGAGCAGGGCGGGGGCTGGGCTTTAGCCCCTGCTGCTCCCTGGCTCAACATCATAGGGCGGCATCCAAACTGTGAAGCAGTCACAGAGGCCCTGTCCTAGCAGGCAGGGGAGGGCAATGTTTGGGCCCACTGGCCCCCGTCCACCCCTAGGCTGCCCATATGGCAGGCAGGGAGAGACTAGCCTCTTCTCCATCTGCCCTAAAGCCCCTCTTGCCTGCTCACTCCCAGAAGCACTGAGACCCTGGGAAGGGCAGAGACTGTCCAAGGCCACACAGCAGGTCATGGCAGAGCCTCTTGGACCGGATGCCAGGACCCCCAACAACTACCACTCTTTCCAGCCTTGGAGCAGCCTTTGAGGTCCTTGAGACATTCTGCTTCATGGGACTGCCTGTTCTCTTTAACTCAGATGTTGAAAGAGGACCTGCTATGAGCTAAGCAATGCATCAAGTGCTAGAGAAAAGCAGGTCAGCCCTTACCTCCTGTCTGAATTAAATAACCGATTAGTATTGAATGAGTGAACACTGACTGTGTACCAGGGACTACACCAAACAATTTGCTTATTTGGTCATGATAATTCTATGACGTACCTTCTACTAACCTCCTTTTATAGTAGTGGAAATCTAGGCTTAGAGAGGTTCAGGAACTTGCCCAAGGTCAGAGCTGGGATTTGAATGTGAGTTTGTGTGGTTCCCAACCACACAGGTTCTTTTGTCCTTTTTTTTATTATTATTATTATTCTTGGAATAACTTCAAATATTTTACTTCATTTTTAATGGCATTTATTGTTATCTTTCTAATTTTACCAGCAATACATATTCCTTGCAGGCAACCAGAAAATACATAAAAGCATAAAGTAAAAATACAACAATCACCCATAATCCCCATCCCCCAGAGATAACCACCATTAGCATTTTGATGCATTTTTGCCCAGTGTCTACATATTTTTATATAAAATTGGTATCATGCCGTGTAGCCAGTTTTGCACCCTGCTTGTTTAGCTCAAACTACTTTGTGAGCGTTTTCCTATCTGAGTATATATTTTTTTGAAAATGTGATCTATAATGGCTGCCTACATCCATTCATAGGCATTGCTTTTATTTAACCATACCCTGCTTTTACACATTAGGTTGTTCCTAATTTTTTACTAATAAACATAACATTGCTGTGAATATCTTTTTACATAAATCTTTGAGCCGATTTCTGCTTATTGGATTCCCACAGAGGGAGTTACAGGGGCAGGGAGCATGAACAGTTCCAAGAAAGCTTTCTCAAGACATAGGTTTTTCCCACTTCAGCAGCCTGATATATTGGTTGATAATTCCCTGTTTTGTTGATGGAGAAATAGGGCCCCAGAGATCAGAAATGAAATGATCACCCTAGGTCAGATCCACCCACTGGCCAAAGGAGAGCAGGACTGGACCCCAGGCATCGTCCTCCCAGTCAGAGCCCTCTTCCACCCACCCTCCATGGGGACCTCCCTCCCCTGCAGCTCTCCCAGGCCAGGGGTGGGGCATTTCCCCATCGCCACACCCCTCCTGTTAGCCTGGAGGCCTGGGCTGTGAGGGATCACAAGGCATGCCCGTCTCTGGCCCCTTGGTCATGGACCACACGGCCCCTAAGATCCTCGCCACCTGCATCACCCCTGTCCCTCGCTCCCTCTCATTCTTTCATTCAATCATTCACGCATCGATATGGCACCCGTGTGTGCTAGGACTGCTCTAGGCTCTGGGGACTTACTCATTCACTATCAGCATTGCCATTTATGCCACGTGACACACAGTCCCTTCAGTGTCGCCAAACCCTTCCTGCTTCACACTAAGTTTTCCAAACTTCCTTGATAACAACACCTGGGAGGCTAGATAACTGTTCGGATTGCTAGGTCACTCCCCTGGAAATTCTGATAGTGTAAGCTGGGCCTAGCCGGAGATTCTTTCCAATAATGTTTCTTTGCTTGCTTTGGGTGTTTCTCACATTCACGCAAGTTTAGGAGGGAATGCTGAAGGATCCCCAAGCGCTGACAGTTGGTGTGGCCCTTACGCACACACGTGCACACACACATGCACAGGTGAGCAGGTCAAGCCCTCCCACAGCACAGCACAGCACCCTCAGGCCCTGCTGGTATGCCCTGCTGTGCCCCTCAGCCTCGAACTCACCAAACCTAATGACAGTCTTTTTTTCTGATTTGCAAGCGATTAGTTTTAATTTGGGGACAATTAGAGGTAGAAGCAGGAGGCATCTGATTTTGATTAGAAGCAGGGAAATGGCCAGAGGCACCCCCACCCCCAACCTGCCTGGCCCTAGCCTCCATGTTGTAGATTAATTTATACATTCAATTCATGGGGTGGGGGACAGCATGGGCTTCTGTGCCTGGGGAGGAGGTGGAAAGGTTGTCTGGGGGTGGCCAGAGGCCCCTGCTGTGCTCCCAGACACTTAGGGCCAGCCTGAGAGGAAAAGAGACGGCCTTTGTCCAGCCACTGACCCTGAGCAGGTGTCTCAAGCCTCATAAGAGGGTAGAATTGATACTGATCAAGCACCTACTGTGTGCCACACCTTGCAGTGGGCAGAGCTGGTCCAAATCCAGTGTCTGCCCATACCCCAGTGCACCTGGAAAGGCGAAAGCCTAAACAAGTGCATGCCTTCCGGTTTGGGACACGGCTGAGAGACCTCTGCCCAGGTGAAGGGGCACATGGGAGTGTTCACGGAACTGACTGATGGGACAGTTTCTTGGTAATTCGCATCTCACATTCACACCAGGGCCAAGCTCTGGATCAGCCAGAGCCAGGGCAGGGCAGAGCACAGCAGCAGCAAAACGCCCCCCAGTGGTGGCAGCGCTGTCAGGGAAGGCTTCCGGGAAGAGGAAATGCCTGGACTGGGCATGGGAGGGGGACGGGACACCCCATCCCACCCCCTGTGCTAGTCTTTCTTCTCTTGGGTGCTGGTGTGTCCCATGTCCTTCCCCGGGGCTTGTGATGCCTCTATTGACTGACGCCTTAGTCTCTTTCTGGATCTAGAAGGGAAGAATGAAGGCTGCCACTTCTCAGCTGAGTATGGCCCCAAAGTGGCCCATCAAGGGTCCGTGGGGCAGGGCAGGTTCAGTGCCAAGGAAGGTAGTAGGAGAGATTTGGGGGCAGGGGGGAGCTCAGGCAAATTCCATCTATAGACACTCCATCTTTGGTTACCAAGCTGTGAAGACTGGATGTGCCTTCCAGGGTTGAAGAAGGAGCCACCTCAGCTCTGCTGGGAAGGGTCACATGCTAGGCATAGTCTGGGAGAGGGACCGGGAATGCTGCTGTTAAACCCAGGTACACAAGCTGCATCATCAAGCCTGTCTTCCTCCCCTGATGTGGTGTCTCCACACCTTCCTGGAGAAACTAAGGTGCGAGGAGCAGAACTAGCTGATCCCCATGTATTCGTTAGCTCGGCTGCCACAGCAAAGCACCACAGACAGGGTGCTGAACAACAGAACCTTACTTCTCAGCCACAGAGGCTGGAAGGCCAGGGTCCAGGTGTCGGCAAGGTTGGTCTCCTCTGGGCCTGGCCTGCCTGGGCTCTGCGATCCTGCCCTGCCTCACATGCCTTCCTTCGGGGAACCTTCCAGCAGCTTTTCCTTCCCAAGCCCTTGCCCTGCTCCACGACATCTGGAGGTCAGAGCTCCGTGCTGAGATGCAGGCCAGTGTGCACACAAGCACACACGCCCATGTGCACACACACACACTCACACAATGTCCCTGAAAGTGATCTGCTGGCCACGCCTCTGGTCTCACCTTCCCCCCTCCAGCCCCTGCCAAAGCAGAATGCTTCCAGGGCCTAGCCCACCTCTCTGGGAAACTGAGGCCCAGAGGTCAAGCAGCTCCAGAGTGGGAAGGCAGAGATTAGTGCCAGGGTCTCAGGGACACCCCCCAACCCTCCCCCCAACACACACACACACCACTTCACCATAGAGGAGGCCTTGGCTTCAGAGGAGAGAACAATTCATGGTGGTGATGGGAGGGTACTGCTAATGACGATGATGTCAGTGCATTGTCGTACCCTAACTTCTCTGGCTGCCCTTTCTGAAAGCAGCCTGTTTTAGTACAGGCTTAATACTTCCCCCTGCAGAAGTCCTGCAGGGCTGCTGAGAGAGGTATGGGCCTGCAGCCAGGGCCAGGGACCCTCCCCTCAGTGGGTGTCCAGTCTCCTGGCTGCTTCACTGAGGGGTACTCAAACCCCACATGGCATCCCAGTCCCAACTGGGCAGCTTGCTCAGGAATTCCATTCATTCAACAAAAATCTACAGATGGTGGGAGGTGCATGCAAACACCTTCTCTCCAACCCCTTCTTCCACTGAATCTGCTGCCCAACTCATGGCCCTGCCCCCAGTGTGCCTCCCAGGGGTCCAGATGGTCAGTCATGAGATTGGGACAGTGAGAGGCTCAAAGGGGACTAAGTGCCACTTAGCAGCCTCTGGGTTCTCCTGGGGGTGCTAAGTGAGGCTGGGGTGCATGCCCCAACCTTGTCCACCCCAGACTGGATGGTGAGCATGTACAGCTCGCTGACCACAGCTGCCCTTCTCCAACCAAGGAGGACAAGCACAGTGGCCCCTCCCCATCTTGACCCAGGACCCAGGCCACATGCAACAGTGCCCCCCTCCTCCCCTTGGTCTTTCAGTTACACTCAACACCCCTATAAGGGAGCTGATGTCACCACCTCAATTTTAAGGGTGGAAACTGAGGCCCAAAATGGGAAGCAACTCATCCAGTGAGTATGACAGGGAGAAGCCTTGAATTTGAGTCCCGAAGCCTGTCTGTTTGCCTGCTTCCTGCTGCTTCCGAAGCACTGGCTGGCTCTGGTGCTCTGGCTCAGGCTGGTATCCTGGACTCCCACATGCATGACTTGGGGCCAGCCTCTCCCCGGGTGGCAGGGACTCCAGGGTAACTTTGGGGCAGGGATGCCAGGCACCATCTCTCCATGCATTTTCCCATCCTCATCTTGGACTTGGCTGCCCACCTCCAGCCCCCCTGGATGGCTGGCATACCCTGCAGGGCTGCAGAGCATCAGGTGGGGCAGGGGTCTGGGAACTGAGTTCTCCTGGGAATGGAGGAAGCGGTCTGGTGGTTACGGCATGGACTGCCCAGAGGACCGGCGACTAGTGGTTTCCCAGCTGGCCCTAAGGGCTGCTCAGAAGGACTCCTAAGGAGGTGCAGTGAGACCAGGTGTCATTTCTCTTAGAACACCTCACCCCAAAGGCCTTCGTGTACCCCAAACCCACTGTCTTATTTTTTGAATGAGAAAATTTGACCATAGGTTTAGAAAGTAGACACCAGAACTTCAAGAACAGGGAATTTTTAGTTCATTGTTTGTGAGGAATTGGGTGTGAATGTTCGCAGAACATCAAGGTTTCATTGATGGTAGTAAAATGATAAATGAGCATAAACTGCAAGGAATCACTGTAACACTGATTAGGAATCTCCTCCTTGGGACACAGGCCTCCAAGAGCCACTCAATGTAGATCAACCGTGATTTGTTGAAGCCTTGCTCAGTGCAAAGCCTCATAGATAACTAATCCCATGCAAGGCAAGATGAGAGGGCCTCTCAGAGGAACATCCCAGGAGTTGAAGTAACATCCTGGTGGACTTCATGGAGGAGGTGGCTTTGTGCTGGACTTTAGAGGAAGATTCAGAGTTAGATATGGGCAGATAGGAAAGGAGAAAAATGGACTTAAAAGGCACAACATGAGCAAAAGAGGAGAGATAAGGCAGCATCAGCAAGCGCTAAAGCCAGAAGTTGTCTAGTTATGCTGGTGGCAAGGGCTTGGGAAGAGGAGTCCTGGGGAAAGGGAGCCTGGAACCCCATTGCAGAGGGCCCTGAATGCGATGCTCAGGCACAAGGTGAGGTGCATATTATTTTGTAAGCAGAAAGGAGAGATCCTTTAACAATACTTATGCATATTTGCATTGTTACACATTTTATAGAGCGCTCTCTTCTTTGATTCTCAAAAACAAAACAAACGACAATACATCATCCAGCAAGACCAGCATTATTATTATTGCCCTTATTTTAAAGGTGAGGAATGTGACTCAGGAAGATCCAGAACTCTTAACTCCCACATCTTGATCCTTCCTATCCCTTGGCAATGTCCAGGAGGTGTTGAGCTGGGACTGAGAAATAATCACTGTGGCTGCTATGTAGGGGAGGGATGCCAGGGAGGGATGAGATGGGGAGAGGGGAGACCAAGTCAGGTGGTATTACATTGTGCTAGCGGCAATGGAGTGAGGCCAGAATGGGGCCAGGGGCCTGGGGAAGGAGGACGGGGGCAGCCCAGGACTTACCATCAAGTCAAGAGGGGGAATTACAAGAATTTGGTGGATCCTGTGGGGAGGGGACAAGAGGAGAAGTCAAATCCAAGGTCCCCGTTTGGGTTTGGGAGGCTAAGCATCAAATTCCCTGTTTATATAGTATACAGCAAGAGAGAGTAGGGGAAATAAGGGATCTGTGGGGGCGCTGCACCATCTGAGGCAGCTGGATCAGTAAAGGACTTGGATTTGAGAGTCAGGGGGCCCCAGGTTTGAATGCCACTGTTGGCCCCTCTTGCTCATGTGACTTGGATAAGTTACTTAATTCTGCACCTTTATCTGTAAGTAGTTATTGATAGAAAACTGGTTGGATCAATGGACAGTATAATACCTAGCTCAAAGGATCTATCTGAGGATCAAATAAGCTAATGGCTGTTGAGTGGCAAGCACAGTGATAATGGTAAGAGTTAGCATTCCTCAGTGCCACACTCCATTCTCAGCCCTTTATGCACACTACGCTGTAAGTCCTCACGGTGGCACTTGGAGGCAGATACAATTTTTATACTCATTTCACAGATGAGGATGCCATGGGATAAAACCCCTTTAAAGCTTCACAACGCTTTGTGCTGGTGTTAGTTTTGCCCCTACGTTGCAAATAAAGAAATGCGGTGGCTGTGGGAGGGCAGTTCACACACCGGCACTAGTGGGGCAAGGCTCAGAGGCCCGACATCCTGGCCCCAGGGCCCACTAAGGATGGAGGACCAGGCTGAGCACTGCCTAACTTGGAGTGGAGGGCCTTCTGCGAGGGTGAGAGGCTGGGTGCCCTGGGGTCCCAGCACAGCCCCTCCTGCCACTCTGTCTGACCACTTTTATCTGTCCGTCCCCAGCCACCAGCCGCTCCCACCCAGCCAGCCCCAGCCCGCCAGGGCCGCAGGCCAGCCCGGTGCTGCCAGTCAGCTACCGCCTGTCCCACACGCGGCTGGCCTTCTTCCTGCGGGAGGCGCGGCCCCCTCCGCCGGTGGTCACCAATGGCTCCCTGCAGCGCTCTGAGCCCTTCGTGGTGTTCCAGACCAAGGAGCTGCCTGTCCTCAACGTCTCCCTGGGGCCCTTCAGCACTAGCCAGGTGGTGGCCCGGGAGCTCCTGCAGCCGTCCAGCACCCTGGACATCCCTGAGCGCCTGACGGTCAACTGGAAGGTGCGGGCCTTCATCGTCCGCGCCCGCGTACCCGCCTCACAGCCTGTGGCCCAGGTGCTGTTCTACGTGGCCGGCCGGGACTGGGACGACTTCGGTGTCACGGAGCGGCTGCCCTGTGTCCGCCTGCATGCCTTCCGGGATGCCCAGGAGGTCAAGAGCTCCTGCCGCCTTAGCGGAGGCCTGGCCACCTGTGTCGTGCGGGCTGAGCTGCCCCTGACCTGGTTTGGGACCCCTGCCCCAGCAGCACCACCCGCCACCCGCCGCAAGTCCCCGGATGGGCTGGAGCCCGAGGCGGCGGGGGAGAGTCAGCAGGCTGAGCTCTACTACACTCTCCATGCCCCGGATGCGTCGGGAGGCTGCGGGGGCACCCGCCAGGGGGCCGGGCAGGGTGTGGGCACCCGGGCCGAGAGCCCTACTCAGCATCCCCTGCTGCGCATTGGGAGCATCAGCCTGTTCCACCCGCCCGCCAGGATGATGCTGCAGGAGCACAGGCTGGACAGCAACCTGATGATCCGCCTGCCGGACCGGCCCCTCAAACCAGGGGAAGTGCTCAGCATCCTACTCTACCTGGCGCCCAACTCCTCCTCTCCGTCCAGCCCCAGCGTGCAGCATTTCACGCTCAGGTATGCGGCTGTGAGCTGAGGGTCTGGCTTCCCTTCCGAGGTCAAACGTGCTGCTGGCCTGTGGTAGGGGTTTGCCCAGACCTGCCGGCACAACATCCTAATTCCAGCTCTTCCATTCAGCACTTGAGCAACCTCAGGAAAACGCCTTACCTCTCTGAGCCTCAGTGTTCTCATCTGCCTATGGCAACAAAAATTTCTGCCCCTACCTCTGTATCTCACAGAAACAGTGTCATGATAAAGGAGAAATACTTATTTTCCCAAGCATAGATATCCAGAATGATAGAATTGGGGCTGGAAGGGCTCTTAGACATTAGCTGGTGCCACTCTTCTATTTTACAGGTTTGGAGACCAAGACCAAAGGGCAGAAACAGGTGTCACACCCCAGGTTGAACAGCAGTATGTCTGTGTGTCAGGACGTTTGCCCAATCCTGGAGTTAGAAGAAAAATTTTCAGGAGTCTCAACTCTTTCTATACCCGGAGCAGGATATAATCCACAAATTCAGAAATGCCTTAAATTAGATCATATCCCCACAAAATATAAGGATGTCTCACAGTAAGAATCTGTGGTTTAAGCCGTGCTGGGTGATTCTAAGAACATAGGAAAGGCCCTACTAAAATGTACCTCCTACCCCAAGCACTATGCACGGGACCTCCAACTTCTTTGAGTTAAGCATTGCCCTCTCTCCTGAGTGTGCTTTCATTAAGCTCAGATATTTCTAGAAAAGGTCAGAACTGATTTAATGACTGATATCTGAATGTAAACATGAGTTAAATCAGCCATCAGATATTTCGGGCTGCATTAATAGGAGTACAACATGTAGAATTATGGAGGTGATAATTTCTCTGCTTTAGTCAGTGTTAATTAGAGCCCAGCTAAAGTGCTGTATTTAATGTAGGACACTACTGACTTATGTATTCAGATTGTCTAGAGGAGGGTGACTAATCCTAGTCACTAGGCTGACATGAAACTATAGTAAAAAGTAATAATTGGAAGAACTAGAAATTTTAGGCCTGGAGACAAGAAGACTCAGGGAACACCTACTCAACCCCCAGCTGTCTGAAGAACTGTTATAATTAAGATGGAGTAGAGTTGTTCATGCTTTCTTGCCCCAGAATAACCCATGACTGTTATATTTCAGCTAAACACAGGGAAGAAGTATGTAGTCCTTAGGGGCTTTCTGAAAATGGAATGGAATGTGTGCAGAAATAGTGAGTCCCCTGTCACTAAGATATACAAGTAGAGGTTAGATAAAGACTTGGCAGAGATATGGTAGAAGTGATTGCAGCTTCCACTGCAGGTCGGAAGTTTCAGCAAACATGACACCAGATTCCCCAAATTAGTCTCAAACACTGAGTCTAGGACTCAGGGTAACTTAGTCACCTGCTCATCATGCTCCTAGCCCCAGCCTAGAAGTGGTGGCCAGGTAGGCAGCCACTGGGCCCTAGGCTCACCTTCTTTCTCTTCTTCGTCCCATTTTTATCCCAGGGTGAAGGCCAAAAAGGGTGTGACCCTTCTTGGCACCAAGTCACGGAGTGGCCAGTGGCATGTGACCTCAGAGCTGCTGACTGGGGCAAAGCACTCAACAGCCACAGTGGATGTGGCCTGGGCCCAGGGCACACCCCTACCCCCCTGGTGAGCTGAGGTGGCACTTCTGTCTGCCTCTTTTCAAGACAGTCCCTGGGAGGGGTGGGGGGATTCTTGATGGAGGAGACCAAGCCTGTAGAAAGGCTGGAGCTTAGATTAAGGGGACTCTGGGGTCCTGGCTGGCATATCTTGGGTGGCTGGAAAAGGCTCGGTGGGTCCCAGCGGGCAGGGTGCCAAGGAGGGCTGGGGTCCCAGCTGGGGGTTTCAGAACTCCTGAGCTGCTCCCAGTGAGTTCTTCTTGCCTCTCCTTCCTTCCTCCATCTGCAGGGAGGACCAAGAGCCCCTGGAGATCCTGCAGCTGGACTTTGAGATGGAGAACTTCACCAGCCAGTCGGTCAAGCGCAGGATCATGTGGCACATTGACTACCGTGGCCACAGTGCCTTACCTGACCTGGAGCGGGCGGTCACTGAGTTGACAGTCATCCAGCGGGATGTGCAAGCCATCCTGCCCCTGGCCATGGTGAGCAGGGCAGGTGACCAGGCTGGTGGATACATGTGCCTATCATGGCTGTATGTGTGTAACAGGATGTGCATGACTGAGTGTACATATAGATCAATGCATGTGTGTGTGTGTGAGCCAGCACCTGTGTGTGTGGCTGCCTCCTGCACCCAGGTGTGCCCACGTGGAAAGGCATATAAGTGTGCATTCATAGGAGACAGGTGGGGCTCTGTTTCTGGGGCTGGAGTAAGACAGCAGATACCGAGGGGGCCAGAGGTAGGAGAAGTCAGCCATGAACAGGCCCCTTGGGGGGTCGGGGGGGTTTCCTAGAGGAGGTAACCTCACAGTTGAACCTTGAAGGTCCCATGGGAGGAAAGGCTCATACAGCCAGAGAAGATGAGGAGGGTGCTCCAGGCAGGGGATCATGTGGGCAAAGGTGTGGCGATGGGAATGTGAGCAGTTTGTTCAAAGGAGCAATGGACTCAGGAAGAATGCAGGGGTGGTGAGTCTGGAATGATGTCTGGAACTAGCCAAGGGGAGGCGGGGACCAGCCCAGGAGCACCTTGGATGCCCAGGCCAATGTGTCGGACGCGACTCTGTGGGTCCTGAGGAGCAAGTAGGAGGTGAGAGTGCAGAGCAGGGACTGGGGAAGGGTTGTTTCCCAGCAGCAGCGTGAGGCAGAACCTGAAGACCACTGCGGCAGGTGGAGCGAGCGGCGCCGCTGAGGTGGTACCTGAGGCTGGTGGATGCGCCTCTCTGCACATATGTACAGGTGCCCCCAGGGACAGGATGGACATCTGAGCGGTGGGGGTAGCCAGGAGCTGGGGACTTGGCAGGCATGTCCTGCAAGAGCAGAGGCCCCCAATCACCCCTGCTCAGCAGGGCTCCACCCTCCCCACAGGACACAGAGATCATCAACACGGCCATCCTGACTGGCCGGACAGTGGCTATCCCTGTCAAGGTCATCGCTGTCGAAGTGACCGGCCTTGTGCTGGATGTCTCTGCCCTGGCCGAATGCGAGTCTGACAATGAGGACATCATCAAGGTGGGCTTCCTGGAGGTGGGGCCCCTGGGAAAGAGGCCGCAGACCTTCAAGGGGAGTGGGACCCCAAGCCAGAGAATTCCCATCACAGACAGGTCCCCTTATTAGTCAGGAGGAGGGCAAATGGGGGGTGTGGGGCACCCCATGTCTACCCTGAGCGTGGTGAGGGAAGGCTCTGGGTACTGCTCTGTCAGTCCTGGAGGGCTCCCTACAGGAACGTGGAAGAGACCTCTGGGCAGGCCAAGGGGAGGGGCAGCTCCCGCAACTTGAACTCAATCTAAGTAAGCAAGTCGTTGTGGAGCCTCCACTTGTGATGACACGGGCAAAGGTAGCAGGGCATAGGGCCCCTCAAGGAAAGACCCCGAACCCAGGTGTGGGTGACCAAGGGGAGGACATCGCCTCAGGCAGGAAGCCCCCAGCATGCGAGTCAGGCCTGGAGTGAAGGTTGTGTAAGGAAAGCCCTGCTCCAGGCACACACGCCGAACTCCCCCAGCTCCTGAAGGCCCCTCCCAGAGACCCACGCAGACCCTGGGCCCCCACAGCCCAGCAAGCAGGACACTGAGCTACCCTGATGGCCCACTTTGCTGCCTCTGCAGGGGGTCCTCCAGACCCGCCCCTTCCCCTGGCTTTGGACGGAGGCAGAGGGAGCAGAGCAGGAAGTGATGCAGGAAGGTGTCCAGCCCTCCTGCCTACAGCGTGGGTGACTATCTGCCATGCCAGCCTCCAACAGGCGCCAAAATCAAATGGTTTAGGGAGCTGAGGCTTTCCCTGTTCCTGGAAATACTTCAGCTTGAAGAAGAGTGGGATGAGTGGGGCTGTGGGTGTCCTCCTCCCTCCTCCTGGCTCCTGGGGCTAGCCTGGAGCGTACGTTCTCTCTCGCTCCCCACCCTCTGCCCTGCCTCCCTCTGGGTCTGGGGAGCCCAAGGCTCACCCCATTCCCTCATCCAGGAAGAATGCCTCCCAAAGTGAGCCAGACCTGATGGCTTGCTACCACACCCCCATCACCTCCTGCTGAGTAGAAACCTTGCCCAGGTCTGTGGGGCTTTCCCTTAGCAGGCTGGCTTGAGAAGAGATAGGCCTGTTCCCAAGCCCCACCCAGCATCTTCCTCTGTCACCCAGACACCCCCACCCCAGCCCCAGAGCAGAGAGAACAAAGTGGTGATGGCTTATTAGATACCAAAGAGAATTAGTGAAGATTCTAAATGGAATTTATTTCCATCCTCAATGAAACACACTCAGGTTCATTATAGAGCTGCCAACATTCTGAATGGAATTTGCCAGCCTTCAGATGGCATTCTCTGCCTTCTGACGTGGGAGATGAGCCTTTCTGGCAGGGCTGCTGTCCCCCCACCCTCCCTTGTGATGATTAAGGGATTTGGTATAGGGGTTTGGGACAGTGCAGGGCCTCATCTCCACAGATGAGTCATAGTCCCAGCACCTCCCCCCCCACCAAAAGGGCCTTCAGAGTGTCATCAGCACACAAGCTGAACGACAGACCCTCCTGCAAACTCATGGCTGTGCACCCACAGGCACGGCCAGCAGGAACACCTACATGCACTGCACACAGGATTCACTCTGGGTGTGCGAGGTGTGTGCGTGGGCACCTCTGACACTACATCCGTCTGCATCTGCCGTGCACTGCTGGCAGCAACACCTCTGTGGGTGGGCACAAGCGTCCACCAAGATGTGTTCAGCATGAGCTCATCCAGGGAACCTCCAGGAATGCAAGTCAGTATGCAGGCGGGAATGCGTTTGCAAAAGCTGCACCCAGTGGCAACAGCGACATCCTGTCTGTGTTTGGGGCTCAGGTCCTCCCTCTGTCACCTCCACCCTTGGCTAGAGCAGCCCCCTTACCTGAAATTAACCAGCTGCCCATTTCCTGGGACCACCTGGCCACAGGGGCTGTGGAGGAGCCGTTAGCCTGAAGGCTCCTCTGAGGTGTGAGCTGCCACATCAGAAGCAGCCCCTTGTAAAAAAATTTGCAGTGGGATTTTTGCGGGGAGCCAAAACCTCCCAGGGTAGCCACTAATAGTCTATGGAGAAATGGGGTAGAATCAGGGGTGCCCAAAGCTGACGCCTCCCAGAGGAATTAAATGTGGTGCTTTCTCCTGCCTCGCCCCTCCCTTAGCCTTTGTGACTGGCACTTCCACTCTCCAATGGCCTTCTGGCCCTGCTGTCAGACTGAAGTCACCTGCACCACCCACAGGATGACCTATAGGGCAAGAAATGCCAACCAATGCCCCTCCCCTCCCCCAGGTATCCAGCAGCTGCGACTATGTGTTTGTGAGCGGAAAGGAGTCTCGTGGGTCCATGAACGCCAGGGTCACCTTCCGTTATGACATCCTCAGTGCTCCCCTGGAAATGACAGTCTGGGTCCCCAAGCTGCCCCTGCACATCGAGCTCTCGGACGCCCACCTCAGCCAAGTGAAGGGCTGGAGGGTGCCCATCCTTCCCGACCGGAGGTACAGCCCCTCCACACACAGTGGGTACCTGGGATATTGTGGGTGGACACAAACCCCAGCACACAGTCTGGTCTGCATGTGTGGATAAGGCTCTAGGTATACACAGTCCACAGGGCAGGTATGCAACCAACAAAATTTATTGAGCAGCTACTGTATGTCAGGCATACAGGGTGCTTAAGATGTGGGGTGACTGTGGCCCGTGCCTGATCCCACCAAGCTCTAGGTCCAGCATGGAGGCTGTCATGTACATGCCACAGAGCTTTGGGGACACAGGAAGCTCTGTGTGCAGGGAATCATGCTGCACCAAGGAGACGACCGCCTCTTCCTCCTCTTCCTCCAGAAGCCAAGGCAGGCTTCCTGGAAGAGGTGACTCTTGAGTTAAATCTTAGAGGATGACTGGAAAGGAGCTGGCTGGGAAGGCAGGGTGAGAGAGCAGGCAGGCAGCAGACCAAATGGAGCAGATTCACCAGCCACAGGAGCAGGCACACTTGTACACACATGCCCCAGACTGTGCATGCCACACATTCATGAGTGCCTCAGCCCAAGCACACAGTGACCCACCACATGGACTCCCTCACTGGGGGGCAGCTCACACACCTGAGTGCCCATCCGTGGGGCGTGTACATGCATGCTCAGCACACCCTCCTCACCACTCATTGCTGCTGGAGAGAAAAGCCGGCGGGGAAGAGAAGAGAGGAGAGTGGTGGGCAGCTAGAGCTGGAAGGGTTGGGCTGGGGAGAGAAATAAGCCCCCAAATGAGAGCTGAGCACAGTTCATTTCTGTGCAGATTTGGAAAAGCAAGGCAGTGTGGACCAAAGCCTTTCAAACTTTAATGTACATATGAAGCGCCTGAGGATCCTGTTAGAATGCAGACTCTGGGGTAGGGACTGTGGTTCTGCGTTTTGGACTGGCTCCCAGGTTTAAGTCCTGACTCTGCTCTTTACTAGCCAGGTAACCTTGGGCTACTTATATAACTTCTGGGGGCCTCGGTTTCCCCATCTATAAAATGGGCACAGTAACACTTCCCACATAGGATTGTGAGGATTAAATTAGTTAACACAGGTAAAAGCCCTCCGTGTCAATGAATATTCTGGTTGTTTGATCCGTCTGGAGCACTAGCGAAACACTAGGCATATCCTTTGCCTTCTCTCCAGAGCATGCTTCCCCATCAGTGAGTCTCCTGATTGTGGCACCTTTGCTGATCTGGTTAGACTGAATTTTGCAGATCATCAAGTCCTGGTTTCCTTTTGCTTCCTAGTTCTTCCCTCAATGTCTCTCTCATCTCTCATTTTACTAGAAGCAGAAAGAGGAACCCAGACTACACTTTCCACACTTTGCTTGGAAATCTCTTCCACTAAATATCCAAGTTCATCACTTACAAGTTCTGCTTGCCACACAGCCATATGGACACAAGTCAGCCAGGCTTTCTGGCACTCCGGAACAAGGACTGCCTTTGCTTCATTTGGAGCTGAGAACAGTGCCGGGCTCACTCTGAGCACTGAAAAAGAGCAGCTTGTTAGAGTTTGACACTAGCTATGCCAAGCAGAGGCAGAGAGGGATAAGGGAGAGCCAAGAAGGTGCCCTTCTAGCAGAGAGAAGGCTGGGACCCCTGGGCCCAAGCTCGTCAGGGAGAAAACGTGAGCCAGGGAGGAGGCTTGCCACGTACACAGCTTCCACCCATGTGAGCTGGGGAGGAGCCAGCAGGGTGACTGCTGCAGGTCAGGGCTGGGGTGAGGTACCCTGACCCCATGCCTCTCCCGCTAGGTCAGTCCGGGAGAGCGAGGGTGAGGAGGAGGAGGAGGAGGCGCGGCGGCAGAGCACGAGCCGTGGCTGCGCCCTGCAGTACCAGCACGCCACTCTGCAGGTCTTCACCCAGTTCCACACCACCTCGTCCGAGGGAACCGACCAGGTGGTCACCATGCTGGGTCCGGACTGGCTGGTGGAGGTCACCGACCTGGTCAGCGACTTCATGCGAGTGGGTGACCCCCGTGTGGCACGCATGGTAGACAGCAGCACGCTGGCTGGCCTGGAGCCGGGCACAACCCCCTTCAAGGTAGGCATGAGGGCAGGGCCAGGAGCCTTGTTGACCTGTGGGTGGAGAACATAGACATTCCTAAGGCAGGATTTTCAGGAACTCAGCCTCTGGGATCAACCCCAGCTGGTCCCCAGAACACACTTTCTTCCCGACCTGCTCCTCTGCCTGAAATTCTACCATCTGAGGTCAAGGTCCTTTAGCTTCATCTTGATGAAGGATCCCCCTCCAAACCTTATCAACCTTTATCAACCTGGCATAGCTTAGTGTGGTCCCTGGGAGCAGGTATGGATGACAAAGGAAGCAGATGAGAAGGCTCAGCCAGCCTAGAGGCCAGGAAAGGGAGTTCAGGGACCTAAGGATTCAACTCTGACCTTTCTCCTTGATAACTGTGTACCTGGGTAGAAATCATCTACCTAAGAGATTGTAGTGATCTAAGGGCTAGAATCTGTCTGCAGACATAAAACAATTGATCCAACATTTAAAAATTGGGAGGTTTCTCATTTTTAAAAAATCTAGATTTCTGGTTTTACAAAAAATGAATCTGGCATCATTTGGCCTGCATTCCCACCTGGCAACAATCAGCTGGAGTCAGTGCTGGTACCTCCTTCACAAGTGCGTAAATTCTCCCATTTGCCATAGTCCACACCATTCCCTTTTATTTCCCTGAGGCCAAATATCAATTGCTGTTTATCATTATGCAGAGCTGTTATTTTCTTTAAAATCTGCCCTCCTGTCTTATCTGTGCTCCTGTCTGTCTCCCGTGAGCCTCTGGCCCTCACTTGGCCTCCAGACCCTGATTCCCAGTGCAGACCTAAGGCAGAGCCCAAGAGCCCTGCCTCCCAGCCTGCCCCCCGCACCTCTCTTCCAGCAGCTCTGGGATTCCTCTCTGGTTGTGGACCTTGGAGTGCTGCCTTCCTGGCCCTCTCCCACCCCTGCCCTGCTCTTCCTCAGGTGGTGTCCCCGCTGACAGAGTCTGTGCTGGGGGAGACGCTGCTGACAGTGACAGAGGAGAAGGTCAGCATCACACAGCTTCAGGCCCAGGTGGTGGCCAGCCTCACCCTCTCCCTACGGCCCAGCCCTGGGAGTAGCCATACCATCCTGGCCACCACGGCTGCCCAGCAGACCCTCAGCTTCCTCAAGCAGGTAACTGGATGCCCAGTCTGCCAACCTGGGGGCTCAGGATATGGAAGGTGGCCTTGCCCATGTACCATGAGTCCCCCAAATTAGCACTTTAAGTGATGGAAGATCTATCTGCCCCTCATGTCCTGCATGCCTCCCACCACATGCCCCTGCCTTCCTCAGAGTGTCTGGCCAAGACCTTGCTTCCTGCCCCTGCCACCCTGAGATGTTCCTGCTGAGGGTTGCCCTCCTATTTTCTCAGAGGGCCCATTGCGTCTGCCTCCAAACCTAGGAATTACCCTCCACCATCTCTGGAGACCCAACTGTAGCCCCCCAGACACACCAGGACACTGGCTACAGGTTAAAGGTGGAAAGGTAACAGGCAGAAGCACAGAGTGAGAAGGTGGGCAATGAGCATGGAGCCAGGCGTTAGGATACAGGAGCTGTCCGCCCTTAACTTGCTCCATGACCCCTGACCCATCCCTTCTCTCTGGGCCCTGCTTCCTCATCTGCAGTGAGGGCAATTCTCAGAAGGTTTTAACAAACAGTGGAGAAGGCTGGGGGTCAGGTATGTATTCTCAGAGTCCAAGGGTCCGATGGTACTGACCCCAAGGTCAGACGTGGAGATAAGGGGTTACTTCTGCAGCAAAAGGGACTTGAGTTAAACCCAAGGCAGACCTTACCTTCAGCCCATCAAAGGGAGAAGGGTGAAGCAAGCCTGTTCAGGACAGTAGAAGGCCATAACATGCTCTGCAGCCTCCCCATAACCTCCAGAGAAGAACTCCTGTTCAGATCATCCCTGAGCACGGCCACCTGACAGGCACAGTTCCAGCGCTGAAATAAAGTGGGGAGCCAGAGTGCTTTGGTCTCACAGAGTTCAGCACCGAACAGGGAAGCCAGGCAGGACTAGCTCTCTGAGTCCTGTCCCCTTTTCCTCTTCCTCCAGGAAGCCCTCCTGAGTCTCTGGCTCTCCTACAGTGATGGCACCACAGCCCCACTCTCCCTCTACAGCCCCCGGGACTACGGGCTGCTGGTGAGCAGCCTGGATGATCGGGTTGCCACAGTGACCCAGGACCGCTCTTTCCCGCTGGTGGTCGCTGAGGCCGAGGGTGCAGGGGACCTGCTCCGTGCAGAGCTCAGCATCGCTGAAAGCTGCCAGAAAACCAAGCGCAAGAGTGTGTTGGCTACAACCCCCGTGGGCCTGCGGGTGCACTTTGGGCGGGATGAGGAGGACCCCACTTACGACTATCCGGGCCCCAGCCAGCCAGGACCCGGCGGGGGCGAGGATGAGGCCCGCGGAGCTGGCCCACCAGGCACTGCGGGGTACCCGCCAGGAGCCCCACGCCCGGGCACCGCCAGCCCCACCGCGCCACCCACAGAAGATTTCCTGCCGCTGCCCACCGGCTTCCTGCAGATGCCGCGGGGGCTGACCGACCTGGAGATCGGCATGTACGCGCTGCTGGGCGTCTTCTGCCTCGCCATCCTCGTCTTCCTCATCAACTGCGTCGTCTTTGTGCTGCGCTACCGGCACAAGCGCATCCCGCCCGAGGGCCAGACCAGCATGGACCACTCTCACCACTGGGTGTTCCTGGGCAACGGGCAGCCGCTGCGCGTCCAGGGGGAGCTGTCGCCGCCCACTGGCAACCCGCTGGAGACCGTGCCCGCCTGCTGCCACGGTGACCACCACAGCAGCGGCAGCTCGCAGACCAGCGTCCAGAGCCAGGTGCACGGGCGGGGGGATGGCTCCTCTGGCGGCTCAGCCCGGGACCAGGCTGAGGACCCCGCCAGCTCGCCCACTTCCAAGCGCAAGCGGGTCAAATTTACCACCTTCACCACGCTGCCCACAGAGGATCTGGCCTATGACTCTGTGCCCGCCGGGGAAGAGGATGAGGAGGATGAAGAGGACCTGGGTTGGGCCTGCCCCGATGTGGCCAGCACCACGCGGCCCAGTGCACCCCCAGACCTGCACAATTACATGCACAGAATCAAAGAGATTGCATAGAGGCGCCGTCTGCCTCTATGCAGAGGAGACGCAGATGGGACCCCTGCTCACACTGATGCAGGCGGGCTGAAACGGATTTTATACTCCCTGCCCCTGCAGCTTTGCTCTGTGCCTGGCAGTCGCCTCCCCTGGCCGGTCCTTCCCTGCTAGGCAGCACTCACTTTACCGTCCTCTGCTCCTGCAGGTGGGGTGCTCCTTCCGCCTTGCTAGGGAGAAAGCAGTTCTTCCCTTCCAAACCTCCTCCCATCTTAGACAAACCCCCTGCCCCAAGAGTGAGGCACAGAGGCCAAGCTTGGGGTGAGGTGGGCCCACACTGTGCCCCACCCCTGCCCCCCATGCCCCCTGTCTTCCCCTTGTGCAGGAGCTGGGGGATCCTGGGGGGTCTTGTGTCACAGATGCACAAAGACTTCTCTCAAACCACTATTCAGGGATTTCTGTCCTGCAGGGTGGGGGGTGGCAGCAGCTGCCTACCCTGCCAAGGAGCTTGCTATGGACAAAACATTTGGGGAGTGGGGGGACACTTGTAGTGCCTGCTGGCTTGCAGGTGCTCCACCAGTCCCTTCCCAGGACCTGGAAGCTGACTCTATAGAGGGGCCTGGGACCAAGCTGGGCACCTGACTGAGATCTCAGGACTCCCTCCTCTGCCCCCTCAGGCTGTGGGCAGGGACCTAAAGTGGCAGGAGTCCCAGGTCCACCCCTAGCCAAGCCACACCCCAGAGCACTGTGGTCTGGGTGGGCCCAGGGAGTCCTGGCTGCGTCCTGCCTAGCCCACTGCAAGGTCAACACCAAGCCTTAGCCCCCCCTCCCGTGCTGCCGACCCCTCCTTCCCCTCTGCAGGGGCAGCCACCCATCTGCCCCAGAACAGAATCTGGTGGAAGAGGGAGAGGGCACAGGGATGCTGTGAAGGACCTTGGGACAGGCAAAGGCAGAAGGGAGCCAGGAATCTCCCTCCCCCACCCCATAGCCACTTCTCTCTTGGGTTCTACCCACCACTGTGTTGGATTTTTCTTAAATAAATGGGGACAACCAGACTGGGGGCGGGGGTAGCAGCTCCCCAGAGAGCAGACAGTACATGATGGCTGGCTCTGTGTCTCATACTTGCGCACATGCACACATGCACACTGTGGACACACTAAATCACTAAGATCAAAATGTGGCTGAACCAGGCTGCCATCCTGCTTTTCCTCCTCCTGCATTCAAGCGCCTCAGTCCCTCTGGTGCTGGGGGCATGCCTCCATCAGGGATGAAGGATCCACTGGCCCAGAAATGCAACCTTACAAAGAGTGCCTCCTCCTAAGAGTCTGCCATGATTGGCTCAGAGGAGGATGAGGCAAGCCTCAGGGCCTCCAGAGAAATGCCTTAGGTGGTTGGGAGGGCACAGAAAATATGAAGAGAGCTGAGAGAGGCTTGGAGTGCACATCTGAGTTCACTCTAGTTTCCTTCTCTGCCTTCAGTCCACCTCTCAGCACCCCCACCCTGCCACTATCATCACTACCTCTCAGGGAGGCCTACCTTCTCCATGGATTGATGGGGGAAGTCAGGGGGGCCCCAGGTCAGAGAGCTAGTTGAAAGAGAGCAAAGGTTATTAGGTGTGCTCCTCCCCCTTGTGTGCTGTGGGCTGGCCCATAGCTGCCCAGGCAGCAGCCCTGGGGGGCACAGGAGAGCGTAGTCCAAGGGGAAGCAGGAGATTGGCCAAGCCTGCCTGGCCAGCCTCCTATACCCCGATGATCGCTAGAGCAACAAGCATCTGTCCTGAAAGGGACCAGGGGCAGGACTGGAGCTGCACTGGCACCCACCCCGACATGCCATTGCCCACCTCGGGAAGACGCCTGCCTTCTGTGATCACTTGCTTGAGAGGCAGCAGCCCTGGGGTTGTTTTGAGGATTTAATGAGATCATGTATGTGGAGCGCTGCGTACAGTGCCCGGCAGCAGACGGCGCTCCTAGCACGGACCCTGGTGCTTTGAGGTCTCAGCGAATGCAGTTTGTTGCACCTAGGTCTGAATTTTCAGGTAAGGTGTGGGCCTAAAAGGAAGACTAGAGATGGACCAACCCCACCCAGGGTGTGCTCTGCAGCAAAGAACAGGTGTCGCTCAGCAGCAAGTGGGGAGTCGCCAGAAGCTGTGCCCAAGGCAGAACCACAGGCGGGCTTATGTGAGGGCTTCTCCTGAAGCCCCAGAACACCAACTACCTGCTCTTCCATGTGCCCTGACAGTGACCTCCTTCAGGGCTGGGGAGAATGTGGGGGGGGGCGGCTCCATTTTCCTTAACCCCTGGTGCCTGGAGCTGGCAAGGCCTCAACACGTTTGCTGACTTAAGTCCCCAGGCCGACTATAAAGGGCTTTCACATTATCCCGTGTTTGGGGATTGTATATACTCTGCCCCCTTACCACCTTGTCAGTGCAGAAAATCACAAGTTTTGAGGACATAGGTGTGAGTCAGGGAAGATATCCCAGCTTGGGTGTGAGGGTGGGAAGGGGGTGCTAAAGTTGGAACATGGATCTATTTGTTCATTCAACACATTAAGCTCCTACTTTGCACTGGGCCCTCCCAGGGTGTGTGGAGGCACAACCATGAGCCTGCCCCGAGGAGCCCCAGCCCCACAGGATGATTGATGCTCTCTGTGATAGTTTTACCCTGGGCTGGTGGGGCACAAAGGAGGAGGAGAGACATACTTGATCTGAGTCAGCTGAGGACAGGGCCAGGGGCATTCCAGGGAGGCTAGTGAGCAGAAAGGCCCTGAGGCTGCATACCCAACGCCTCATGCTTTCTTTTGCTACTATGTCTCTGCACATGCTTTCTCTACACCCAGCATATGAGTCCCTGGTAATAAGGGAAACACAAAATATATATACGCAAAGGTGTGCAGGCCAGGGGGAGGGTGGTGGGGTCAGCATGGATTTGGGAGTCAGGCTCAAACTTGAGGTTCAGATCATTTCCTCTAACTGGGTAAAGAAAGGAAGGATCAGAGGGACAAGAGGAGCAGTTAGAAGGACGCTGGAGCAGAAAGCATGAGGGCCAGGCCAGAGGGAACAGGGAGCTGGGTGGGTATGCCAGCATTCACCTGCAGAATCTACCAGCTGCATTATCCCGCATGGGGATGAGGGGCAGGAGACATGAGCCACTGCTTGACCCTGAGACCAACTTCCTTCCCAAGACGACCTCAGAGACCAGGCCCCTCCAGGAAAGGAGGCAGAAGCTATAGTAATGGTGCTTGTCAGCAGCCGTGCCATCACCAACAGGGAAACTAGGACCCAGAGAAGGGGAGCTGTTGGCCAAAACACACAGCAAACCTGGTAACAGAGCCAGAGCCCTGCCCTGTAATTTGTATCCCTTTCTCTTCATTCTTCATCCCCAGTCCAAATGGGAGAACTCAGAGGCAATTGCTAGAACTGCAAGCCTGACCCCCATGCATTCAAGAGGGAGCAGGTACAGAGGGAACGAGGCGGGACATTAAGTTAACAGCCCTTCTGGAATGGCCCTGGCACTGAACTCCTCTTTAAAAATTTGTCTTCAACCCTGGAAATGGATCGAGGGACCTTGTAAAGAATAGTTATTGACAGAGAGCTGCTCAGGGAGCTCCATGGAACCAGGCCCATGAATCAGCTTGCTAGCAAAATGAGATTTCTCAGCCAGGGCCGGTGACAGCAGAGCCAGAGAGACAGAGACACCACCTGGAATCTGTCCCCACCCCAGCACTCAGCTCCCTGCCCCTCCCCCACACCACCAGCTCCCCTCTCCACACCAGCCCTGGATGCACCTCCATGCCTGTCTTCAACAAATATTGACAATGTGCTTCCCTTAAAGGAATGCACACATGCACACTGTGGACACACTAAATCACTAAGATCAAAATGTGGCTGAACCAGGCTGCCATCCTGCTTTTCCTCCTCCTGCATTCAAGCGCCTCAGTCCCTCTGGTGCTGGGGGCATGCCTCCATCAGGGATGAAGGATCCACTGGCCCAGAAATGCAACCTTACAAAGAGTGCCTCCTCCTAAGAGTCTGCCATGATTGGCTCAGAGGAGGATGAGGCAAGCCTCAGGGCCTCCAGAGAAATGCCTTAGGTGGTTGGGAGGGCACAGAAAATATGAAGAGAGCTGAGAGAGGCTTGGAGTGCACATCTGAGTTCACTCTAGTTTCCTTCTCTGCCTTCAGTCCACCTCTCAGCACCCCCACCCTGCCACTATCATCACTACCTCTCAGGGAGGCCTACCTTCTCCATGGATTGATGGGGGAAGTCAGGGGGGCCCCAGGTCAGAGAGCTAGTTGAAAGAGAGCAAAGGTTATTAGGTGTGCTCCTCCCCCTTGTGTGCTGTGGGCTGGCCCATAGCTGCCCAGGCAGCAGCCCTGGGGGGCACAGGAGAGCGTAGTCCAAGGGGAAGCAGGAGATTGGCCAAGCCTGCCTGGCCAGCCTCCTATACCCCGATGATCGCTAGAGCAACAAGCATCTGTCCTGAAAGGGACCAGGGGCAGGACTGGAGCTGCACTGGCACCCACCCCGACATGCCATTGCCCACCTCGGGAAGACGCCTGCCTTCTGTGATCACTTGCTTGAGAGGCAGCAGCCCTGGGGTTGTTTTGAGGATTTAATGAGATCATGTATGTGGAGCGCTGCGTACAGTGCCCGGCAGCAGACGGCGCTCCTAGCACGGACCCTGGTGCTTTGAGGTCTCAGCGAATGCAGTTTGTTGCACCTAGGTCTGAATTTTCAGGTAAGGTGTGGGCCTAAAAGGAAGACTAGAGATGGACCAACCCCACCCAGGGTGTGCTCTGCAGCAAAGAACAGGTGTCGCTCAGCAGCAAGTGGGGAGTCGCCAGAAGCTGTGCCCAAGGCAGAACCACAGGCGGGCTTATGTGAGGGCTTCTCCTGAAGCCCCAGAACACCAACTACCTGCTCTTCCATGTGCCCTGACAGTGACCTCCTTCAGGGCTGGGGAGAATGTGGGGGGGGGCGGCTCCATTTTCCTTAACCCCTGGTGCCTGGAGCTGGCAAGGCCTCAACACGTTTGCTGACTTAAGTCCCCAGGCCGACTATAAAGGGCTTTCACATTATCCCGTGTTTGGGGATTGTATATACTCTGCCCCCTTACCACCTTGTCAGTGCAGAAAATCACAAGTTTTGAGGACATAGGTGTGAGTCAGGGAAGATATCCCAGCTTGGGTGTGAGGGTGGGAAGGGGGTGCTAAAGTTGAACATGGATCTATTTGTTCATTCAACACATTAAGCTCCTACTTTGCACTGGGCCCTCCCAGGGTGTGTGGAGGCACAACCATGAGCCTGCCCCGAGGAGCCCCAGCCCCACAGGATGATTGATGCTCTCTGTGATAGTTTTACCCTGGGCTGGTGGGGCACAAAGGAGGAGGAGAGACATACTTGATCTGAGTCAGCTGAGGACAGGGCCAGGGGCATTCCAGGGAGGCTAGTGAGCAGAAAGGCCCTGAGGCTGCATACCCAACGCCTCATGCTTTCTTTTGCTACTATGTCTCTGCACATGCTTTCTCTACACCCAGCATATGAGTCCCTGGTAATAAGGGAAACACAAAATATATATACGCAAAGGTGTGCAGGCCAGGGGGAGGGTGGTGGGGTCAGCATGGATTTGGGAGTCAGGCTCAAACTTGAGGTTCAGATCATTTCCTCTTACTGGGTAAAGAAAGGAAGGATCAGAGGGACAAGAGGAGCAATTAGAAGGACGCTGGAGCAGAAAGCATGAGGGCCAGGCCAGAGGGAACAGGGAGCTGGGTGGGTATGCCAGCATTCACCTGCAGAATCTACCAGCTGCATTATCCCGCATGGGGATGAGGGGCAGGAGACATGAGCCACTGCTTGACCCTGAGACCAACTTCCTTCCCAAGACGACCTCAGAGACCAGGCCCCTCCAGGAAAGGAGGCAGAAGCTATCGTAATGGTGCTTGTCAGCAGCCGTGCCATCACCAACAGGGAAACTAGGACCCAGAGAAGGGGAGCTGTTGGCCAAAACACACAGCAAACCTGGTAACAGAGCCAGAGCCCTGCCCTGTAATTTGTATCCCTTTCTCTTCATTCTTCATCCCCAGTCCAAATGGGAGAACTCAGAGGCAATTGCTAGAACTGCAAGCCTGACCCCCATGCATTCAAGAGGGAGCAGGTACAGAGGGAACGAGGCGGGACATTAAGTTAACAGCCCTTCTGGAATGGCCCTGGCACTGAACTCCTCTTTAAAAATTTGTCTTCAACCCTGGAAATGGATCGAGGGACCTTGTAAAGAATAGTTATTGACAGAGAGCTGCTCAGGGAGCTCCATGGAACCAGGCCCATGAATCAGCTTGCTAGCAAAATGAGATTTCTCAGCCAGGGCCGGTGACAGCAGAGCCAGAGAGGCAGAGACACCACCTGGAATCTGTCCCCACCCCAGCACTCAGCTCCCTGCCCCTCCCCCACACCACCAGCTCCCCTCTCCACACCAGCCCTGGATGCACCTCCATGCCTGTCTTCAACAAATATTGACAATGTGCTTCCCTTAAAGGAGGCACTGTGCTTCCCTTAAAGGAGGTCTTCAGAATGAGAGGGAGAGGTCTTGGAGTAAAATAGAGAAAGTGGAAAATATAACAAATAGGCCAGAGAAAGGAAAATCCTTGGATAGATGAACCTTCCTCAGAAGTTGGCAGAAACTTCTGGGGTCTGACAATGCATTAGCTGTATGATCTTCAGTCAGTACATCACCAGCTCTGGGCCCTTGCTTCCCCATTTGTACAAGCATGGAAATACCACTAGTAGGTGGTGTCCACTGACTTTCCTGAAGAGGCCCTACTGTTTTAAACACCTTTATTGATAACAAGAATCTAGACAGATAAGAAATATTACTCCCATTCTATAGATGAAGAGACAGAAACACAGAGAAGGCAAGTAACTTGCCCTTGGTCTCTGGCTTAGAAGTGACCTGGGGGGCAGCTACAAATCTACCCTCTTTTTGCTGCATCCTGAAGCAACATTGGACATCAAAGGGGATGAGGTTGGAGAGATTTGGAGGTGAGAGGAATGGAGAATGGTCTCTAAAGATTTGATGTGCTCAGTGATGGGGACAGGCTGTGAGACCCCTGTTGAAGGCATAGATCATGGACGGTGTGCAGGGGCAGATGGAATATCGTGAACACTATGGCCTCTCTGCCATTGCTAGAGGGACCAGTCCCTCCTCTACTGGGAACTCCACCCCCAGCTGACTGTCACAACCACCACCCGGCCCTCTGCAAGCAGAGAGGCAGCAGGGCTCTGCTGAGCAAGGCGCTGAGCTGGGCTTGTAAGGACAACTCACTGCACATTGACAGATGCCCAGCAGAGGAAGGTGGGGGTGAGCATGCACCTGCCCTCTCCCTTCAGCCTCTGGGGCCTAAGCAAGAGAAACTGGAAAGCTGAGGCCATCCACTAAGCGCCCACCCCTACCACAGTAGCTTGGTGAGTGTCAGTTGCATCCTTGCCAAAAATGTGACAGAGTGCCAAGCACAGGGGAAGTAAGAGTATTAAGTAACAATCGCTAATATTAAGAGCTCACTATGTACTAACAACTTTATAGCCATCATTCATGGACTCTTCACAATAACCACATAAGGTAGGTGCTACTATTGTATCTATTCTACAGATAACAAAGTTGGGGCTCAGACAAGTTATATAATTTGTCTCATGCCCCACAGCAACTCAACAGCAGAGGCAGGATTCAAATTCAAGTTGCAGTGGCTCCTGGTTCCATGTCCTCTCACTGCCCATACTACACTCCTCAGGGGGACCTGGAGGAGTGGCACGAGCACCCAGCTGGGAGTCCAGGGGCTTGGTGGGGGTCCTCTGCCGCGTGGCCGTGAGCCTGGCACTGCCTGTACCTAGAACAAGCCAGGACCTTCCGTTGGAATCCAGGGCCAGACTGTCTCTCTAGTGCCTTCAGTCTTGATGGTTCTCAAGACTTAAAGTGTGAAGCCCTGGGCACCACCCAGCCCTGCCAGTTCACACCCCCCACCCTCCACCCTGTTAGAGCTGCTGGTGGGGGGCGGTACCAGGCTTCAGGGGCCCTCTGCTGTCTGCAAAGCTTTGCCAGCTCTGCCACCTGACATGCTGCCGCCACAGGCAGGTGCCCTGGGCTCGGGACTTGCCACTCCGTGCGCGGGGAGGAGCACAGTGAGGGGGCAGGAGTGGGATGTCAGTGGGAGCTCTCCCTGGGTGGCCAGAGAGACAGCGAGTCCCTGGCGAAGGGCTTGGAAGTTCAAGCTGCCCATCCCCTGCCCACAGGGAGCTCCTAGCCTGATGGAAGAGACCCAGATTCTGTTCCACGGGCACCCCCAGCCTTACAGCAGAGGTGCAGACCTGTCCTCCAGCAGCTCCCTGGCTGAGGGGAGCAAGCTACCTGCCCCTAACAAACCCTAGTCTGCTGAGGGAGCCTCGGCACACCCCGGAGAAACATCGTGCACACAAACAGGTCCGAATAAGTGCAAAGTAATCTACGCGGGCACTTGGCCCATGGAGCAGGTGGAATAAAGTAAATGGGGGAGCAAGCCAGTTGATCCGGAAACCCAGCACGGACAGGGTGGCAGGTGGGGTTGAGGAGAGCCATTAGGAAGGGTCTAGAGCATGGCTGGGAAGTCAAAAACAAACACTTGAGGGTTAGGAGATAGGATGGATTTGTCCCTGTGAGGGATGGAGCCCTGCAGGGGCCTGGCCTAGCCCAGCGGGTGTGGGGAGGGGAGGAAGTGACCCTCGTCAGGGGACCCTGGAGAAGCCCTGGGCTGCGGGGGAGGCACTGCTATGGAGCAGGTGGGAGAGGGGGGAGAGGGACTCAACCCTTCTCACCTCTCAGGGAGGAAGACGGGCCTGGAGCACAGGGAGGGGGCCTGGATTGGGGCTAAGGGGCTTGGCTTCCAGTCCTGGGGGCACCCCCACTTGCAGTGTGGCCTGGCATGAGTCTCTGGGCCTCCTCTGTGTGACGAGCGTCTGAACTAGATGTTGTCTGAGGGTCCCCCCAGACGGACCCTCTGTGCCCCATGCACGCAGTGTGGATTCAAGCACAGGGGTTCTGACAACCCCCTTCTGATAGCTTGGTGGGCTGGAGGGCAGAATGGGCCCCATGAAGAGTGAGGCCGGCAGGGCCTGAGCCCCGGCTCCCCTGCGGCCTTCCTGTGTGACCTTAGGCTGCCCGCTGAGCCCCACTGTGGAGCTAGAAGTGCCCTTCCTTTCTGACGCCCTGAAATTCAAGAATGATTTTCTTCTCCATTGCAAACAACACCAGGCCCCCTGACACTCACAGTCAGGGTCACTGGGCTGCTCCCTGCAGCTTCCCACCAGGTGGCCCTGCCTGAGAGGAGAGTTGACAGGGAGCAAAGGGAAAGCGAGCAGCTCCCTGCCCAGGACCTCTGGGCCCAGCACCTGCCCTAAGAGTGGACTCCACCTGCAGACCACACCCCAGGCCTGCAGGGAGCAGAGAGGGTGGAGAGCTGCTGGCTGAGTGAGATGGCGAGTGAAGCACCTTCTTGCTTAACAGCTCCCTCTGCCCCTTCTTATCATTTACTCCTCACCTCTACCTCCACATACACTCCACCCCTCCAAGAGGCAGCCCCTGGAGCCCACCCCTCCCCTGGTGGGATGCAGTTCATCAAGGCTTAGGGGAGCCAGGTCACTGTTCCAGCCTCCTCTTTTACACACACTTGCCTGTGGGTCCTCCATCTGCAGTCTGTTCCCCTCCCACTCCAGGCACAGTTCCAGATTCCAGACCTGCTGTGGGATGGCTGTCTATCAAGGGAAGGGGCAGGCCCTGGGGAGAGGAGCTGGCCTGTGGTTAGCCCTCTGGCAGGGACCACATGCCCCAGGAAGGGGAGCCATGGGAGAAGGGGAGCAAAGCGCATTCCAGCAGCTGCAGCTTTTCGAGAAAATCTCCAGAGATGCCAGAGCCACGAGATGACCCTCCACCCCAGGAAATGCCACTCTAGGAACAGACACAACAAAACAAATCACCAAATGTACCCAGTGGTTAAAGTACTGCCTTTGTCAAAAGAAGTCGCTCTGGTGGGTGCCCAACCTCACAGGCATGCACGAACGGAGGCATGCACCTCCTGCACACACACATGCACACTCACAAAAACTCTCTAAGTGCATACATGTATGCATGCGCACACTCTAGCCTACCCACTGGGGTCTCTACAGAGGGGGCTGCTGCCGGACTGCATAAATAACCTTCAGGGGTGGTTGATTGGATAGGAGCCTGCTGGAGAGGGGAATGGTCAGGAGCATATTTACCCCACACCTAAAACAATAAACAGTCTCACAGCACTCAGAATACCCATTTACATGCAAGCCATCACTGAGTTAATTACAAAGATTCTTATCTGTTCATTAAAGCAGACTGGAGGGCCCTCTATTTGGAAACACTTTGCTGTTAAAGGGACTATGTTATTAACTCTAATGAAATGATTTATTTTGGACTGGTGCCGAGTGAGACAGAACCTGGGGCCAGGCCTCATCCAGGGGGTATGACCTGGTTCTCTGGGCTGCCATTCTCTGCTTGGAAGCCAAGAAGACTTCTGGGAGGAAAGGGACAGAAATCCTGGAGAGGTTATTAAAACCTCTCCTACGGATGGATCTGAGAGCCCCAGTTGAGTATGGCTGGAAGGAAAGGACACCCCAGGGGACTTGGGGGGTCACTCTAGCTAATTTGGCCTCACTGTGGAAGGCAGTGGAATTGATTTCTCCCTGAGCTCAGTTCCCTATGAAATGGGAATAAAATAGCAACCACTTCGTCAGGTTCTTGGGAGGGCTAAATGAATTATTGCATGTGAATAACAGAAAATGTCCAGGGCAGAACTCACCTTAGCAAATGCTAGCTATTATTCTGTCATTTTCCAAGGAAAGATGAATTTTTCTAAAGTGATAGGACGTGGAGAGCTGGGCTAATTCTCCATCTGATACTCCAAGTTCTTTTTTTTGGCTTGGTGTTCAGCTATGGGACTTCCCTCTATTCTGCGTCAGCCTTCTGGGATACTACAACAATTTTGAGGCAAGGCTAGTAGTCTCTAAAAGAAACATATTTGGTGTTTTGCTAATTTGGGGCAAGAAGGGCTCAAGCAAGTAGTTGGACAACCGAAAAGAGATCTGAATCCAAGCTGGTGTCGTGATACCTACGTTTAAAACATTTTCCAAGACAGACCCTCTACTGATGTTCCTTGAGCCATTCTAAAATTAGGAGGCCTGAGCTGAATTATTTTTTTGTGTGCTGGGAGGGGAGGTGTGCAGGAAACTGGTCTTCATCTAGGTGACATCATAAGGGACAGGAATGCTGCAAGAGGGCAGGGCCCTGGTGCTGAGGCCAGGGTCACTCAGCTCCCAGGAGCAGGCCCTCAGCTAAGGCAGACCAGGAAGGGGGGTGCCAGGCCATTCAGAGCCCTGCCCCCACTCCTCCACCTGGTGCAGGGCTCACAGGCCCGCTGTGGGCCGTCAGCATCCAGCCAGGTACAGATGTCTATCTGCAGGGTGGAGATCAGGCCCAGCCCAACAGGAGGGGGCTTCTCTCACGCCAGCCTTGCTCTGGGTTACGTTCACAGGCTGGTGAGGACAGAGCTGGCTGGCCAGCTGCCACCACTCCCCGCTCCTTCCTCCCATTCCCTTCTTCCAAGGCCTGACCGTCAGTCCCCCTGATGAGACTGTGCCCCAGGAGAGGAGTGGTTTGGGCACATTGGCCTGGGCCTTCTTGGGAGATGAGTTTTTGCAGCTGGGGCAGTCAGGGCAAGAGTCGGGGGAGGAAGGAGAAGCTGCCCAGCGAACACTGGGACACTCCAGGTCCTCCAGTGTCTCCCTTGCCAAGCCTCATCCACAAATGCTCTCTTGGCATGAGCCTCCTGGCTGGGCTGAGACCTCCGGGCTTGGAGGTAACCACCCGTATGTCCAACGAGATGTACAGACTTGGGCCCAGGTCCCCAGATCCCAAGGCAGATCCAGCAAGCTGTGTTCTGCTTGCCCCCCTCAGACCCAGACAACCCTGACATCGGTTCTGTGAAAACTCACCTAGAGTTGCTGTTCCAGCACCTCAGGCCCACTGGGAAGTCAGTGGCTTCTGCTCAGCTGTCACCTCCTCAGAGGGGCCTTCTCTGACCCCTCTACCCAAAATAGCAACTGTGGCCACCCTGTCTCCCTCTAGATGGCTTCAGTATTCTTCACAGCACCACCACCACCAGACCCTGTATTCTGCCAGTGTCCTGTCTGTCGCCACACCAGAGGGAGGGCTCCATGAGGGCAGGGACAGTGCTGTATTCACACCAGATCCCCCCAACTGGAGCAGGGCCAGACCCACAGGAGGGGTTACATGAGGACGTGAGATGAATGAGGCCCACACTGGGTTGGCTGTGGCATGAGCAGGTGCAGGGCCCCTGCCTCCTCCCACTGAGACAGAGGGAGGCAGAAGGTCCCATGAGCTTTCCTGTGGCTGGTGTGCACCATCAGGGTCCACCTCACAGGGCGGAAAGGGAACCCAATATAGCAGGTTTTGGGGCCTCACAGCCTCCAATCCAGCCGCCCGGCTTCACACAGAGGCAGCTTCACCCTGGGGTGGCCTGTACAGGGGAGGCAGGTGAGGACACTCCCAAGTGGGTAGGGCCCAGCACCAGAAGGGCCGAGGATCTTAATGGGGTCAGCCAGGGCAGGGGTGGGGCATGCAGGGTGGGGGACGGCACGGCTCAGGGGAGGCAGGCCAGGTGTGCGGTCTGAATTGGAAACTGAGAGCAGGACTTCTTAGCTGGAGGTTTGCGGGAGGGCTTCAGGGAGCCTGCAGCCTTCTGAAATAGCAGGTAAGAACTTGAGGAAGGGTGTGGGAAAGAGTTTAAATCATCCATCCAGGCCCTGCTCATCCCTCCTTCCCTCCTCAGGGTCCCAGCAGAGACCCCTCCCCAGTTCACACCAGAAGGGGGCTCTTTCCAATAGTCAGTGAGTGGAAACCACGACCAAAATAAAAGAAACAAAATCTCCAGCCCAACTTGCTCACAACTAGCCCACAATGCATTCCCAGACTAAAGGGGTATGAACTGCAGCAGAATTCCATCTGGGCTTCTCTGTGCTCGGGGTCCCTGTGCTGGAAGGGAATGAATGTGCGGCAACAGAGGCCACGGAGCTGGGAGGCAGCCCCCGCTGGTCCCCAGCTGACGCGGGAGAAGACTCCTGTATTTCCTGACCCTCTCCCACAACTCACAACCACCAGGCAGGCATGGAGGGAGCTGCACTCAGAGACCAGATTGGAAGCACCCCTACCCTCCATTGCTCAGTCTCCTGTAAAAAGAGGCTCTTACCTTCTCACATGGATGGCTTCCCCACGGCTGGGGGTGCGAGAAAGAATGAAGTCCAATGGCCAAACAGAGAAGGCATTAGGAAGGTCAAAACTTTCTCCTGGAAACAAATAAGGAGAATTCACCTCGGCAAGGGAGGGAAGCCGGCCTCCAGCAAAGGCGCAGGAGCAAGAGAGGGCCTGGGGATTCTGGAGACTCAAAGGGCTCCCCCCGACCCCACCCGAGCTCAGTGAGCAAACAGGGAGGGTAGGCAAGGTGGAGCGGGTGTCTGGCCTAGATCCTGAGACCGGTGTGCCCCAGTGGAAGCTGACGCGGGGTGACCTGAGAGGGTTAGGTTTTAGAAAGACGGCTGTGATGCAGGGGACCAGGGAGGATGGGGCTCTGAAGAGACCCAGAGCTATGCTACGCATTACCTGAGTCTAGGAACAGAAGAGCTTCCCTAAGGTCCAGGCCCCCAAGAGACTCTGTGCCCTAGGACAGTCACATCATCTAGTAAGAAAGGACTTGGAGTCAGTGGGGCTGAGTTTGAATCATGGTTCTGCCATTTACTTCTTATAAGTCCCTTCAAATCCATATCTCAGTTACCCAATCTGTAAAACGGAGCTGATGCTGGCCTCTTCCCAAGGTTCTTGTGAAGGTCAATGATCTTTTCCATACAGCCTAGGCACTTGGTTAAGTGCTCAGTAAATGGAGGACCATTAGTACCATATCTTTAAACTCCCAGCATGTCACCCATCACCAGCACTAGAAGGAATCCATTCCAATTCGGGAAGAAAACAAGACCCAGAGTCACGGAATGATTTGCCCCAAGTTCTAGAGTTTCACTGATTCGAATCCAGAAGGAGCTGGGATTCAAACCCAAGTCTCTTGACCACTGTTGCACTTCCCAGCCACCTCTCTCCCGAGCTGACTGGAGATTGGGCATTTTGGGCAAGCGACGACCACCCTTCATCATGCTGGAAAATTGTGCCAGATCATCAGGTCTGAATCAACGCATTCTCACTGCCTCTCCCTGATCGCAGCCCCATCTCTCTGTCTTGGGAGTGTCTGCTTCTGAGTACCATCAGGGCCCAGGCTGGGAGGCGGGGCAGGGGCCGCCCAGGGTTGGGGGGCGGGGTGGATGTGGGGGCAGAGTAGGAGCCGCACAGGAAGGGAGAGGTCTGAAATGTTCTTGTCTCACTCTCTCCCCCAGGCCCTAGAGTAGGGCTGAAGGATGGGCCTGTGCGCTGCCAGCGGCCTGGTTGGCGATAGATGTGAACCTGGTAGGATGGTGTCGGCAACACTTGGTGAGATTCATTTTCCTGCTGCTGGGGGAGAAAAATGTGGCCTCCATGTCATCCATCTGCTCTGCAGCAAAGTGGTAAACAGGCGAGCCTCACAGAGAACAACCTGGCTGGGAGCCCAGTGCAGCAGGCTTCCCGCAGGGCTGGGGGGCTGAGGGAAGCACCAGGATCTGTTTCCTTGGCTTCCAGGACAGAGTGAAGCCCCCTCTGACTCCTTTGTCACCAGCAGGGACAGGACCAACTCCAGTGCCCCTTCCCTCTGTCCTCCCACCCCCAAGTTCTCACCAGGGCCACTAAATACTCTGCCCCCTGGCCTCTCTGCCCAGATTCCCCCACTGCTGCCTTTGGCCTCTGTGTCTGAACCTACCACCCTCAGTGGGGCCACCCTACTCCTTTCCCCTGCCCTGCGCAGGTGTCCTTGGCAGGGTGCAGATAAAGGCCTCTGCTACCCGAGGCAAGGGCTCCTTGTGGGTGCTCTTGGGCTGCCTCCTGAGCACCAGAACCCCTCCCCATGGGAAGCAGGGAGAGCAGCTCATCCACATGGCTACACACAGCAGATTTTGCTTGAACCCCCTGGTCTCACCCCCAGATCTTATCCCCAGCCTGTCAGCCCCTCTGGTTTATAAGGAAGAAGCATCTGCAAGGGAGGCTCAGGACACCCGAGTGCTCTCGCCCAGGGCCCCTCTCTGAAGGGCCTCCCCGCGGTCTCTGCAGCCTCGGTGCTGAGATGAAGACCAACACGGCCCAGCCCAGCCCCCAGATCCACACACCTGCATGTGACATTGGACAAAGGCCCTGCCCCTCCCCATCTGTTAGGCAAGAGGGCAGAATCCAGGAGGTGTTCCCCCTTCAAATCGCACGGAGACCACATCGGAAGCCCTGTAAGACTGGCCCTAAGGACACTTCAACTTTAGCGCTCTGAGATGCTGTTTCCACATACCTAGGCAGAGGCTGGGAGGGAGCAGCCCCTCCTGAACTCTGGCAGCAAACCCCAGAAAAGGCAAGGAGAGGAGGCGTTTCTCCCATCGCCCCTCACTGGGGCTATTAGTAGACCCAGCATGCCATTGCTCACTGGGCTCATCTCTCACTCCAACACTGGCCCGATCCCATCCCTTCCTCTGAAGAGCAAAATTAAAAGGGATCTGTCCTCGAGCTGAGACAGCTCATCTCTCTCTCACCAGCAGAGACAACTGGGGGGCTGGGGGGTGGGTGCCTGCACAGGAGGCTGAGAGCTCATCTCCTTGGCCTTGGCCTCGGCCTCCTGCCCATAGCAGCCTGGGCTCTGCTCGGCCTCTCCCTGTAGCCCTCTCCTCCTGTCCCACTTGCAGCCCAGGGACATTTTAAATGGATTCAATTTAAAACTTCAGAAGCAATCCCTTTCCACATTTTTAAAGTTCACAGCCCCAGCATTAGGCCCCAGCACCTCATTGTTCACGCTTTCCTTCAATGAGTAGTTCAATTTGTCCCCTCTTTGCTGAAGCCTTTGATCCCTCCAGGCTGAATCATGGAGTCCTGCTTCCTGCGAGTGCTTCCTTGAGGCTTCTGTGCTCAGGGTGAGGGCTGGAGCTGCGAGCCTCTCTGTCCCTCTCCCTGGGCAGTGTGCTACTTAAGGGCACAACCCTTTGGATTCATCTTTGTAACCCCTACTGTGCCCAGCATAGAGCGCATGCCAAGATGGCTGACCACGTCTGCCAACTGTGGGTCCACCATGTGCCCAGTGCCATGTAGGTCCAAAGGGGCTGAGCAAGAACCACACACATAGGAAAGGAGACAGGTGCAAATCAAACGAAATGCTGCTGTGGCCATTGCCAAAATAGGGGTGAGCCATCCCCACCCCAGCACTATGCCCTTTATTACTTACCTGGCCACACCGGCACTCCATTGAGCTGAGTCAGGCCTCCCCAGACAGAAAGGGTCTCAGCTGGCCAAGCTCCCTTGGCCATTACCACCAGTGTCCAGGACACTGGGGTCAGAAGAGAGAGCTTAGTGCCAGCTGTTCCTTGGCAAGAGAATGGAAGGTTGTGGGAAATTGCTTCATGGCTATTCTTATAAAGGATGGGGGAAGGGAAGAGGGCCATTCCCTTGGTCAGCCTCACCACTTGCTTACTTTGCCCTCACAGTGAGAAAATATTATCCTAAATGCCATGGGGACAGTAAACTCACTGCAGAAAACACCCAAACCCCTCTGAATTGAACTTGGAGAACCTGAGTTCAGAGACCTTCCTAGGCTCCTAGATCTCCTTCTTTTTAAGGGGCTTGAAACTACTGCAGAAGTCGGGACTCACTGTAATGTGAGGTCCCAGCACAAGGGGACCCAAGGAGGAGAACCACTCAGACCCAGGCAAAACCCTGTGCTTGGTGGCCACATTTTCTTAAAGCCCCAGATAGCAATAGTTCAGGCTTGCAGGCTACATGGGCTGTCTCTGCTAAAACTACTCTGCTCTTACAGCTCAAAAGCTGCCACAGAAAATACCTGAGCAAATGGGGGTAATGTGCCGCAAAGCAATTTTATGTACAAAACCAAGCAGCTGTCTGCTGGAATTCAAATATCATGCACACACACACACACACACACACACATATACACACTTTAAAGAACACATGGGCACCACTTGTCACCCAGGGTTATTATGCTCGGCCCTGGCACAGTATAACCCGTAAGCCTAAACATCTGCTCTCATGATTAACACTATTCAGGCCCCAGGAAATAGGTCTTCATATCTTTTGCTGTAGGTTTGCAGAATAAAAGACAACAGAGTCAGAATGCCGAGAAGTTTCCTAGGTTGCTTCCGCTGACCTCAGGCTCCACCTGATGAAATGGAGAACGTGGACCGCATACGAGGAGCAGAAGCCCTTGGGTAAGAAAGAAGATAAATTAATGATCTTTTCAAGTCCTTGCTCTTACATAGCATGAATGTAATAGATTCTTGAAAAACAAAGTATAGCTTCCAAGTAATGTCAAGTGTCCTTTTCTAGCTGTCTGACTGTTCCAATTGATGGGTCTGGAAGTACTCACAATTATTAATTATTATCCATAGTATTGGCTACAGTTGACTGACAGCTAAGAAATATTTTGCTACATTAAATAATGCATATTAATCATATGGTATATATGTAGGTCTAGATGTAAACAGCATGATACTGATTCATCACATTAACAAAAAATTAGACATTGAATGCTAGAGTTATGAAGTTTTATTTTTTATAAAGATATTTAAAAATATTTAAATATCTTTTCCAAAAAAATTAAACTAAAATTTCAGCTTTATTTAAATAATTGATTTAGATTTTTTACATGCATTAATTATAATGTGAATTACACCTTTAATTTTAATAGATCATTTAGAATACTATTTAAAAAGGATTATAAAAAAAGGGTAGTTCTCAAAATGTTACTATCAATTGAACTTAAATGCTTACTGAAACTATATTTTGCATACTTCGAATAAAATTGCATTTTGTTTTTTAATCCTTTAGCTGATCATTCTTATAGAGTAGCCACTCATATGACACTTGAGCACTTGAAATGTGACCATTTTGAGTTGAGATACACTCTAAGTGTAAAATGCACACTGAATTCCAGGGACCTAATAGGAAAAACAGAACATAAAATATGTCATTAATAATTTTTTATATTGGTTACCTGTTAAAAAAACATTTTAGGTATCTTGGATTGAATAAAATATATTGTTAAAATTAATTTCACCTGTTTATTTTTACTTTTTAAAAATGTGACAACTCAAAAATCATATATGGACTCACATCTGTGTCTCAAGTATTTCTACTGGACAGGGTCGCTTTAGATCCTCCCTATAAACAGGATACAGATTATGTGAAAACCCTACTATAACAAAATTGATAATTTTGCTGACAGGACAGCAAGAAAATAATATTTTAAGGAGTATGTGACAGTTTAAGAATTATGCCCATCTATTTTTGTGTGATTTTTAACACTGATTTGTTCTAAATTTCTCATGACTCTGATGTTAAGTTTCTCGTCGTTGTATTTGAGGTATAGCTTACACACAGTGCAATGCCCTTATTTTTAAGTACAGAGCTGGATGGGTTTCCATCAGTGCAGACACCTGCTCTGACAATACCCGATCTAGCTAAAAGACAACTCCATTACCCTAGAAAGGTCCCTTGTACTCCTATTCAGTTAAACCCACCTCCCAGAGGCAACTGAATTTCTGATTTCTTTTTTTCTTTTTCTAATTTCTATCATAGATTCATTTTGCCTGTCCTTGAACTTCACATAAATTGAATATGCAGTATCTACTCTTCTGCATCTGGCATCTTTTACATGTCTATTTTATTACTCATCTAGACTTCAGCAGCCCACCAACAGGACATGCACAGTAATAATTAAATGTTTTGGTACATAGCGTAGCTTTATATATTCTTTTCAATTTTGTCATTATGAAGGTATATTTGCCAAGAAAGGGAGATAAAACATATTTCATTTGCCAGTCTGATATCAATGACATTTAGGTATACAGACATGGAGTATTTGTGCTGTTGCCTTGGGCCCCACAGATGGTAGGCATGGGAGGGCCAAGGAGGAGCGAGAATCCAGGCCAGGGCTGCAGGAGAGCTGCCAGGGCTGGGAGGGCTCGGGGTGGGACTCAACCTCAAGGCTGCCTTGGTGAGGCTCTGCCAGCTGCTTAGGAGCCAGCGGGGAAATCCCCTATAAAGGAGGCCCTGTCGGAAAGCTCAGGGGAGGCCAGAGACCAGTGAAGGCAGAAGGAGAGCAAGGGGTCCTGGTGTACCAAGTGGAAACAGACACTATTCATTCAACTGAATCCAACCGACCAATACTTACTGAGCAGCTAATGTACGTCCACTGTGCACTAGGTTTTAGAGCTTTAATGGGGAAAACATAAATAAGAGACGTCCCCTCTGCCCTCATGGAGCTTACCAATTGGTAGGAGAGATCTTAATCAAATAGTCACACACCCAAGGGAATCAAGCCTACAGGATCCAGCCCAAACTTTCCAGACAAGCATTCAAGCCTTTATTCCTGCCGCTCTCTCTGCTGGAGAAGCCCTTCTCGCTTGCTGTTCCACCTACAGAAGTCGCTACCCATTCAGCAAGAGAGGGCTCCAAATCCTCCCCATGAGAAACCTTCCCTGGTGTCCCCCATCTGAATTTTCAGACCTTCCCCTGAGTTCCCAGGGCAGCTTCCTCTCACTTCTGTGCATGCAATCGGAGGGCGGGGGGCGGGGTCTGGGAGGAAGAAGTGATGTGCTTGAGGGCCATAAATGAGTCCTGGTCCCACCACCTACAAGCTCTATGATTTTGTCCAGGTGAATTATTGCCTGAGTCTGTTTCCTGGTCTGTACAATGGGAACAGTAACAGTTATTTCATTGAGTCTTTCTGAGGGTTTATTATGTCTATGGGCACATACATGCTGAGTAAATGTTAGTCTTTACACCCCTACATTCCTCCCACCTTGTTTGGGAGGCACTGGACCCCATGGAAGAGTAAACCACTCTCACACCTGGCCAGGTAGCCTCTGCACCCAGGCCTGTCAGGACAGACTGGAGAGTGAAGGGGCAGAGGCAGCCTGCAGGCTCAGGGCCCCTTGCTTCCCTGGGCCGCAAAGCCATCGGAGGAATGATTCCCATCTGTAACGTGAGGCTACGGGTAGGCAACAGGTGGCCTCTCTAGGCAGCATCCAGAGTGGACTCTGTGTGGTGGCAAGACAGGCCCAGAGCAGCTGAGATACAGGTGGGCACTGCCAGGAGCAAACCCAGGATGCAGAAACACCGCCCAACGCTGCCTCTCAAGTCTCCTGCCCCCTGCCCCTCTGAATCCAGAGCAGCCAGGGCACCTGGCCCTTTGCCAAACCAGCCTCTAGTGAGCTAAAGTGTCCCTGCCTGAGCCCTGGGGGTTCAGCCCCCACACATCCCATCACCAAGCCCTGGCTCCAAAAAGATTATGAGTTCTCCTAGAACAAGTCCCACCCCAGACCCAGAGACAGCCACTCCCCTACACAGAAAAGGCTGGAATCCTGGTCTTGAACTCACTGCTCCATCACTGACTCATCCTTTGACCTGGCTCTGCGTCCCTTCTCTAAATGACCATTTTCTCCTCTATGAAATGAAAAGAATAAGCTCCCTCCTACCTCCCACAACCCTGTGATTATGATACAAGACCACGTGAGAGAGTGCATTTACACGTTTTTACACACGGGTCAATTTGCTGTGTGATCCTGACCAGGTTGCTGCCCTCCTCTGTGCCTCGGTTTACATGAGACTGACTGGAGAAGAAGCTAGCATAGCACACCCCCACAACCCCCCAACATCCTCATCTCAAGGAGAAGGAGACAGCATCTCTGAATGGGAGCAGCCTGGGATGCACATCAACTTGTCTTTCTTTCCCCTGGAGAAAGCTGCAATTTCATTCTCACACATACCCATGTCCACCCACCGGAGTGATGTCCAGGGGGAGTTCCTGTGTCCTGGAGGAAGTCCAGAGGGCTCCTGTCCTGAGAGATAAGTCCCCGACCAGATGCCAGCCTTCCCACCAGCAGCCCCTCCCTCCAGCTAAGTATTGGGTCCCTAGCAGCTCAGACCTCCCCACCCTGCCTAGCTGGTCTCTCCCTTCTTACCAGTCTTTCCCCTGTCCCTCCACTCTGTCATCTTCTTTCCAAAATCACTGCATCCCATAGGGATTCACTGTGAGCCTGCTGAAATCCAGGCACTGGACTTGGCATGTGGACACACAAGTAAAAGAGGCCCAGCCCTGCTCAGTGGCTTATGGGCAGAACTGAGCCCAGGGACTCGAGGATGATGTGCCATCTCATAGGTGTGTGACAGCTGACACTGAGGGCACAGCAGGTGCCGGGGACAGGCTTGAGGGATTCACCAGCGTTATCCCCTGGAAACGTCACAGCACTGTGAGGTGGATGCTATTAGCAGAATGAAATGGTCTCATTGCCATTTTAGAGGCATGAACACTGAGGCGTAGAGAGGCTATATTTGCTCAGGGTAGTATGTCTAAAGTGGCAGAGCCAGGGTTTAGACCCAGTCTGTCTGACTTTAGTTCCCTTGCTCTTCACCTACTACCTTGT